CGCGCACCACGTGCCCCAACACCCCCCACGCGTCACTCGCACCACGTGCCCCAACACCCCTCATGCGTCACGCGCACCACGTGCCCCAACACCCCTCACGCGTCACTCGCACCACGTGCCCCAACACCCCTCACGCGTCACTCGCACCACGTGCCCCAACACTCCGCACGCGTCACTCGCACCACGTGCCTCAACACCCCTCACGCGTCACTCGCACCACGTGCCCCAACACCCCTCACGCGTCACTCGCACCACGTGCCTCAACACCCCTCACGCGTCACTCGCCCCACGTGCCCCAACACTCCTCACGCGTCACAACACCCCTCACGCGTCACTCGCACCACGTGCCTCAACACCCCTCACGCGTCACTCGCACCACGTGCCCCAACACCCCCCACGCGTCACTCGCACCACGTGCCCCAACACCCCTCACACGTCACTCGCACCACGTGCCCCAACACCCCTCACACGTCACTCGCACCACGTGCCCCAACACCCCTCACACGTCACTCGCACCACGTGCCTCAACACCCCTCACGCGTCACTCGCACCACGTGCCCCAACACCCCTCAGGCGTCACTCGCACCACGTGCCCCAACACCCCGCACGCGTCACTCGCACCACGTGCCCCAACACCCCTCACACGTCACTCGCACCACGTGCCCCAACACCCCTCACACGTCACTCGCACCACGTGTCCCAACACCCCACACGCGTCACTCGCACCACGTGCCCCAACACCCCTCACGCGTCACGCGCACCACGTGCCCCAACACCCCTCACACGTCACTCGCACCACGTGTCCCAACACCCCACACGCGTCACTCGCACCACGTGCCCCAACACCCCTCACGCGTCACGCGCACCACGTGCCCCAACACCCCTCACGCGTCACGCGCACCACGTGCCCCAACACCCCGCACGCGTCACTCGCACCACGTGCCTCAACACCCCTCACGCGTCACTCGCACCACGTGCCCCAACACCCCCCACGCGTCACTCGCACCACGTGCCCCAACACCCCTCACGCGTCTCAACACCCCTTACGCGTCACTCGCACCACGTGCCTCAACACCCCTCACGCGTCACTCGCACCACGTGCCCCAACACCCCCCACGCGTCACTCGCACCACGTGCCCCAACACCCCGCACGCGTCACTCGCACCACGTGCCCCAACACCCCACACGCGTCACGCGCACCACGTGCCCCAACACCCCTCACACGTCACTCGCACCACGTGTCCCAACACCCCACACGCGTCACTCGCACCACGTGCCCCAACACCCCTCACGCGTCACGCGCACCACGTGCCCCAACACCCCTCACGCGTCACGCGCACCACGTGCCCCAACACCCCTCACGCGTCACTCGCACCACGTGCCCCAACACCCCTCACGCGTCACTCGCACCACGTGCCCCAACACCCCTCACGCGTCACTCGCACCACGTGCCTCAACACCCCTCACGCGTCACTCGCACCACGTGCCCCAACACCCCCCACGCGTCACTCGCACCACGTGCCTCAACACCCCTCACGCGTCACTCGCACCACGTGCCCCAACACCCCGCACGCGTCACTCGCACCACGTGCCCCAACACCCCACACGCGTCACGCGCACCACGTGCCCCAACACCCCTCACACGTCACTCGCACCACGTGTCCCAACACCCCACACGCGTCACTCGCACCACGTGCCCCAACACCCCTCACGCGTCACGCGCACCACGTGCCCCAACACCCCTCACGCGTCACGCGCACCACGTGCCCCAACACCCCTCACGCGTCACTCGTACCACGTGCCCCAACACCCCTCACGCGTCACGCGCACCACGTGCCCCAACACCCCTCACGCGTCACGCGCACCACGTGCCCCAACACCCCTCACGCGTCACGCGCACCACGTGCCCTAACACCCCTTACGCGTCACTCGTACCACGTGCCCCCCCCCCATCCCTCTCTGTCTCCATGACGTACGCCCCAAGTCGATCTCATCATTATCTTCATAATGATCGTCTTCATCATTCACTATTTATTGCGTGCGTCCCCTGCAGCGCTACTCTTTCCTTCTATGCCCCCCATGTCCCCCATGCCCCCCCCTCCGCTCTTCGTGTCTTCAATGCCCCCTCCACCACCCTCCATGCACCGTGCTCTTTGACCCTCACGTTACCGCGCCGTGCATCGGTGGGGCGCGTGCGCTCACACGGTGTCTGACGCGATTGGACAGCGGGCACGTGCCGGGCGAGGCTTGGATTGGTGATGTCAATGGAATTCCTCTCGTGCGGGATGTGCCAAGCCCAGCCCCCCACCCCCAATTTCCCCATCTCAAAGCCCCCCCCCCATACCTCCCCCTCCCCCACAGAGCTGAAAAAATGAACCAGACTAGGAAAACGACACAGTCGGTGAAACAATAAATGCGTGGAGTGACCGTGTGGCTGGATTGTCAGTGGCAGCAGGAGAACGTCACCTGACAATCGTCGTCATCATCGGGGCTTCATTTCTCGCTCGATATTTTTCCCGAACCCTGACAGCATGCCCTGGAGTAGGAATTGTCTGCCACGACATTGCAAGGCACGCCAACCCATAGCACTCCTACATTACGTTACCCTCTGGTCCTATAATCATGTGAACCGGTTAGGGCCAAAATCAGGCGAGATGGATGTCGCACACCACACACGGACAGCCCTCTGGAGCATTGCGGCTGTGAGAAAACACCGATTAATATCATCGGCCGTCATCAATCCACTGCTGGATTGCACGGGCGAGGCGTCGCCATCTGCCACGCGGTCCTTTTAGCCGCCGTCCAGAGGCCACGCTCCTCCGTGAACCTCCCCCCCCCCCCCCAGTGCCGCGTCTCCCGCTGCAGGGCCCCGCAGTCCGCCCGCCAGGATTAGACATGTCAAGCACGTCTACAACTTGGCGGAAGACGATAGGACGTCTCCACACACACGCAAAAAAGACAAAGATCCCCCGTGTAGCATGTAACAGACTGTTGGGGAAAGTGCTGTTCGCGAGCACCTATGAAGGCCGGCATGGCACACGAGGGAGTGGGTGGCCAGCGCCACGCCCGGCCGCCTTTGTCTCCCCAGTGCCAATGTTTCACACACCGCACCAGGGACACATTTGAGGCTGAGTCGACAAAGGGGAAGATCAGGACCTGTTCAAATAATCGTCACTGGTGTTGGCCGTGAGCCGGGAATAGAACTCGGGTCGCCGGATTCGTAGCGCAGCGCACTAAGCGCTACACTACCGCTCCCCGCGTCCACACACGCACACACGCACGATAAACAGATATCTGCATCAGCCCTCGTGATTTCTGCAATTGCTTAAACAATGGGATGGTAAAACGGGTTACATTGCGTGCAGATGATCACTCACCGCCGCCCCCACCATCACGCACCCCCCCCCCCCTCCGCGTCCACACTCACGTGGAGAATATTAAGTGCGGTCCAGTTTCTCTATTTAATAGAATTCATACGATTTCATTATTTTCACGCCTGTGAGCAAACCACCACTTAGTGCTTCACGTCTCCTCGTAAGAGCAGCAGGGATGCAGCCGAGAGAGTGTTTGGATGAGCGACCACCCTGCATGCCGGGCGGGTTACGTAGCTGGCCTGCCTGCTCCATCCAGCACTGATCCAGCGCGGTAAAGTATGGCCAAACTCCCAGGACTCGCACCGAGCCGCGGATTGATAATGGGCTGTTCCATATCATCATCAGCCACGTTCAATCCACTCCTGGATGAAAGCAGGTCCCAAGCCGTTTCCATTTCTTACGATCTATGGTGTTGGTGGGGGTGGCACTCGTAAAGGGGGCAGTACACGCACACACGTGGCACCGTCTCCCTTCGTTGGCCCATAGTCAGAGGGGAGCAACAAAGACAAAGATCCCCCGTATAGCCTGTAACAGACTGTTGGGACAAGTGCTGTTGGCGAGCACCTATGACGGCCGGCACGGCACACGAGGGGGAGGGTGGCCAGCACCACGCGCGGCCGCCTTTGTCTCCCCGGTGGCGATGTTTTACACACTGCACCGGGTATTCATTTGAGTCCGAGTCGACCTAGGGGGAGGCCCAGGACCGGTTCAGATAATCGTCACCGGTGTTGGCCTTGATCGGGAATCGAACTTCGGGTCGCCGGGTTCGTAGCTCAGCGTAGCGCTAACCGCTGCACCACCGCTCCCCCACCCACCCCTCCACACAAACTCACACCGACGATTATCCGCCATTCACCACGACGTTAGCGACGGCGACGGTCAACCGCGGCGCTTGTGCCGGGCTAGGTGGCCACCTTTCCTATTTGGTTGAGGCGCACCCCGAGTGAAGTGTGCGGGAGGTCACGAGGCACGGGCTCAGGTGGCGATGCGTTGACTGAGCGAGATGGAGAGGGGCAAATGCAGCACCTCCTGCACTCACTCCACCCCGTGGCATACAACAAAGAGGCGCACGGCTACCCGAAACTCACCGGGCTTAACAACAGCAACAACAATAATCTCTCCTCCTTCTTTCCCGGAAGAGTTATTATTGAGCAGCATTTAAGAGCGCGGTCAATACATAAACAGATACGTGCATTGCAAAATCGCAGAGCAATATTTTAACCCCCTCTGTGACCCGCAGCAGCAGCAGCAGCGCATGTTGCTCGAGTTAACGGGCCGCTTATGACATTCAGTCCAGCGCGTGGTCGACGGTAGTCACGGGGCAGCAGCCAGGGGGAAGACGCGCGCCGTAGGGGACCCTCCAACGCGGCGGTGGGGGGCTCGTGCTGCAGAGCAAGTGGCGCTGGCGTGGATTGCTGTTAGTCGCCGGATTGATCGTGAAGATCATGGCGGCGGGCTCGGGGAGGCTTTCATCGAGCAGTGGATCGATCTTGGCCGCTGCTGATGGCGATTACGACGATGAATGAACGTGTAAATATATAAACCCATAAGGGCCACAGTAACGCAGCAGCAGCAGCGCGTAATTTCACCTCCAGCCAGCCAGCCACGTCTCACGCGTCTACTCACCTCGTGAATACGAAGCGCTCCGAAGAGATGATACTGCTGCTGCTGCTACCACGATGTAGTCCTCTCTCCTCGGGGAGAAATGAGAAGAGGGTTGTCACCGATGATCGGACGACGCAGCGGAGACCGGTGTGTGTGCGTGGGGGGTAATGAGTGTGCGGATGAGAGGCAGGAGGGGGGTGGGGCGAGAAGGAGGTGGGGATGGGGGAGAAGATGGCTGATTCTACCGGGCTGTGTGGGACGTGGGGGGGACGCCACGTGGGGGGGGGGGGGGGGTGGCTCCGCTCGTAGCTCTGAGGGAGCCGCAGTCGGGAGGGACTGAGCGAGCGACAGCGGCGCATTCACACGCAGCTCGGCATCGCGCGTCGTGGCCTGTGCCATTACGCACGGGACTATGGGGGGAGGAGGAGGAGGGATGTGGAAGGGCGGTGCGTAAAAGAGGTAAAGGTGCAGCCCTGCAATTGCTTGCTCGAGTTACTGTTGGGGGAAAGGACCTCTGAATAGCAGCTGATACAGGGGGACCTTCCCTCGACTCCAGAATGGTTGTTTGGCAACCAAAATAACAAGAAGAGATACTTTTTTTCTAATTCGGTCCAAAAAACATCTAAAATTCAAGAGCCGCAATGCACGTGAATACGATACGGTGATTGTCCTTGATAAACCACGGCCAAGCAGCAGTCCTGTAAGAGCCGCATGCGGCTATCGGAGCCGCAGGATGCTGACCCCTGCTCCTTAGAGGCTTGTGCGTGGCCGACCCTTCCACGATGGCCAGGCGAACAGATGGGCGCGTCTGTCGGAAAGACAGCGTCTGAATGAATTTCAGACGCTGTCTTTCCGACAGACCTGTTCTTCACCTGAGGACGGCTGCTTGCGTTGTGGCCGAAACGTCGTGAGAATTGTATTTTATTATGTTTTATTATATTATTTTATTATTTCCCTTCTACGTGACTTTACCGAAAGAACCAAGAAGATGAATCCCTGCAGTCACGAAAGCTTTAAATCGAAATTTAAGTTTCAGTTTATTTATTAGGTATAGCCCTGTATGTCAGCCATGCGACGTCCAGCCTGCTTGCCCCAGCACGCAGGGCAACGCGTTGCCGTCGGGCTAAATCGTCGGATGTCACGGTCGTTCTTTCGCGTGCCGCGGAGTTCATCGGCGATGTTACACAACGCAAACCATATCGGGTCGGAGTGGAGCGTCCAAGTAGCAAAATATACACGCATACAGTTCGCATCCTTCACGTATATGTCTGTCCACAAAGACAAAGATCCCCCGTATAGCCTTAACAGACTGTTGGAGGTAAGTGCTGTTAGCGAGTATCAGCAACAGCACCTACGAAGGCCGGAACGGCACACGAACGAGGGGGTGGGTGGCCCCCACCACGCCCGACCGCCTTCGTCTCCGCAGTGGCGATGTTTACACACCGTACTCATCTGAGGCTGAGTCGACCTAGAGGAGGCCCCGGACCGGTTCAGATAATCGTCACTGGTGTTGGTCGTGAGTGGGAATCGAACCCTGGTAGCCAGGTTAATAGCGCAGCGCGCCAACCGCTACACTACCGCTCCCCGCATATATATATCTGTCCACTCACGGAATAACGCGTTTCTCACACACATCCCATCGACCCCACCGCCCTTTTGGGAGCGCACAATTTCAGCAGCATCGATTCAAGGCGAGCAGATCTTCTGGACCGGTCTCGACACGCAGTGTCTCGTCGACAGACTCGGTCTTAGCTTCAACCCATCCGTGAAGGCGATGGCGCGCCTCGCCCTGCTGCCGATGTTCCGATGCTGTTGATGGTTCCACCGCCGGTGTCGTCGGGGACGAGTGTCAGAGCCAGGAGGTGCGATATTTCGAAATGTCGTGTTTATCAGCGACGTCGAGACGGGTGGACACTTGCCAACACAGCCGATGTTTACAACTTCTTACCGCGGCACCGATTTCAAGAGCAAAACATGTCAGCACCTTGTGTGTGTGTTTTTTTTTTCTTCAGCCTCTACAACTAAAAACACACGGTGTGTATATATATACACACATCTGGATGGATCAGCTGTGAACATCGGAGTGTGCGACAAAAGGGTTTCAAATCGGCAGTGCAGCACTTACATCATTGACAGGGGTGGCAAGCGTGCGCATGGTATGATGAGGTCCCTGCTGTTCTAAACAAAATTCCCTCTCGCCAGGTGCGATCGTTTTGGTGGCTGTCAAATCCGCCCCCGGGGAAGCCATGCAAGCATTGTCACCACGGCGCACGGTGGTGGCACGGCTCTGACGTCGGGAATGATTTAGCCAGCCGCGAAGATAGTCCTCTCCGTCGAGGATTTAACGACCGGCCCTGAATGCGAAGCCACGACCTCAAAATGACCTTCAGCCTTGCCCCTGTCATTTTTTTTTGTTTTTATTCGATTGGTCTCAATCATTTGAACGACGTGGACACGTATGTGACGTCTGCGAAACGGCGATGGTCCTCCGACAACGTTCAGCTCGCCACCAGCAGCGCGGCGCGAGCGGGTGCGTTTGTCCAAATCCTCTCTGACCGGTGGATTCCCCCCTCCACCTCCCTCTCCACCTCCCTCTCCACCTCCCTCTCCACCTCCCTCTCCACCTCCCTTTCCACCTCCCTCTCCCCGCATCTCCCCCCATGCGCAACGATTGCATGTCGACTCGAAACCGACAATGACGCTCAGCCGCGGGCGTTAAAGAGAGGACGTTTCTAATTTAGACGTGAGCACACAATGTGCGCACCCACAGGGTCCCCGTGTGTTTGAGAACAGGTTGTGTACATGGTGCTTGAACAACAAAAATACGTTAACACTTATATGGGACTATCGTTTTTAATGAAGAAAAAAAACGGATAATATACTGTAACGTGATAACAAATGTGATGTTCATAGCTTCAAAAGGTCAATGAGTCTCTACTTGTTTGTCATCATTGCCAACGCGTGCCTGGAATCTTCTCCAGGTGGTCTCCAGAGCCCGGAGGCAGAACATTTCTCGTGGTATTGTTGCAAATTTTCAGAAGTGTTCACATTGTTCTAAGCACCCTGCACTATGAAGCCACGAAAACGCTCCCGACATTTTAGTCCAACATTTCTTCAAAGCCATGGATTTCCCCTCCCCCCAAACCCTCTTTAATAGTTGTTGTTGTTGCTGTTGCTCGAATGAAGGAGATGATGCTCGCTTAGCGGGGCACGGTGCGTGCGTGCGGTGTGGCTAACGGGCCGAGCGGAACGTACCATTCGGTGGGGGAGTGGAAGGCGCGTGGACAATTAGCCTGGCATAGATAACAGGCGGAGTGGTGCTTACCGAGGGGGCAAGGGGCGGGCGGGTGGTTGGCCCATTTGTGAGAGAGGGGGCCCAGCGTGCGGCGAACTCACTCCGGAGAATGGGGAACAAAAATGAATAAATATGTAGAGCCTCCGGTGTGCGCGCATACGCGCGCACGCGCCTCCACCGTAGCGGAGCGTGCTGACACAGCTAGAAGGGAATTACCGCAGCGCACCTTCTCTCGCGTGGGCCAACGCAGCCCCCCCGTCCACCCCTCTCGATCTCGATAGAATGGAACGCGCCGCCGCTGCCCTCTGCTGTAGGCAGAATCCCACCCCTGGCGCATCGTCACATGGAGCGGTCCCTCGTGCATCGAGACTCTGCTAATGCGCCCCGCGCCGCTCCCACAGGGAGATCCCAGAAGTGCCTTCCACCCTCTGCCACACACATCGCCGTAATTGAAAAGTCATTGTCTATGCATTGCTAGATGAAGGCCTCAACACGACGTGACTATCACTTGCCGTTTACGGTCCAGTGCTGCTGCCGTGCATCTTACAAATGCACGTTCACTTAATTCGTGACTCCATCTCCACGGTGGTTCTCCTTTTAGATGTGTTCTCTCCCTGGGCTGCTATGCTGTCACCAGTCTCCACTTCATCCCGTTCCACGATTCGTACCACTCAAGTGCAGATTATCTCCCTGACTTGTGTTATTCCCAGATCCTGCCTCTTGCTGTGGTTCCAGGCATCCACTCGTGCACGGCGTATGCGTCCCAAGACGCCGTACACACACATTGGGCACGTTTGTATTACGGCGAGAAAGATGCAATTTGTCTTCGGAAGAGGGAATGATGATGCTCTTAAGCCGGCACAGGGGCATGGAGTTGACAGCACGGGGGGCTGCGGAAGCGAAGTGCCGGACCATGAGGGCAGGACAGGAGAACGAGGGACCCCACACTGAGCCAATGTTGAGTGGGGGCTTTCACAGAAGGCCTCGGTTGCTGGAGTGGAGAATGCGTAGAGGAGAGTAGAGTGAGACGATATGAGAGAGGTAGGAGAGTGCGTGGAGGGGAGTAGAGTGAGATGAGAGGGGAGAGGTAGGAGAGTGTGTGGAGGGTAGTTAAGCGAGACGATATGGGAGAGGTAGGATGGTGCGTGGAGGGGAGTAGAGTGAGACGAGAGGGGAGAGGTAGGAGAGTGTGTAGAGGGGAGTAGAGCGAGATGAGAGGGGAGAGGTAGGGGAGTGCGTAGAGGGGAGTAGAGTGAGATGAGAGGTAGGAGAGTGTGTGGAGGGGAGTAGAGCGAGATGAGAGGGGAGAGGTAGGTGAGTGTGTGTAGGGGAGTAGAGTGATATGAGAGGGGGCAGGTAGGAGAGTGCGTGGAGGGGAGTAGAGTGAGATGAGAGGAGAGAGGTAGGAGAGTGCGTGGAGGGGAGTAGAGTGAGATGAGAGGAGAGGTAGGAGAGTGCGTGGAGGGGAGTAGAGTGAGATGAGAAGGGTAGGCAGGAGTGAGTCGAATGAGAATCTGGAAGAGGGTGAGTATGATCTCTAAATTGATCGGGGAGCGAGTGGAGGGAACTTGGTAATGGTGCGACATCTCTTCAAGATGTCAGCACTCCGGCCAGCACCTCTGATTGTCATGCGCTGCTGCAACTGGCAAGAGAGAGCAGAAAACAAACCCAGAATCGGAAGAGGTTGGAAGCAATGCACCTTTCATCGTGATTGTAATGGTTCCATTGCGCATAAATGGTGTGCGCTCTCTGAAAACACGAGTAGAAACTCCACAATACAGATTTTGTTGGGTTAGATCGCGTAAATATATAAATGTGTCGTTAAACCCGCCACCACCCGACACAGCCACATTTATATATTTACGCGATCTAACCCAACACAAAATGTATTGTGGATATTGGTCTCGAAAGCGTACACGTGTTAAGCATGAAGTACTGCGTGTGCAGATGTCTTCCTGATAATCTTTTGGTCATAACACGCGCAGTCTTGCCAGAAATCATAACGGTCATTTTAAGGTTTGGCGGAAGAGAATGGCAAATGCAAAATCCGAGGGAATCAACTACGAATGTACAACAAAGTCAATTTGCTTTTGTTGTTGAAGATATACTAAAATGTAACACGAGTAGAAACACAACACTCACATCGTACACGTTTCATAAATCACAACTAAATCACAGCCCTTTCCCAACCCGTTGCCAGACAGAGGCCTTCCCACGTAATGTCGGTAATTGGCAGTATTTGACCATACTTCACCATGCTGGTCAATGCGGTTTGGTGACGTGGTGGTGGTGGACTGGGACTGGTTGAGACAGCACTTGCCACTCGAGTTGACGCGTCTTCCACTGTCGACCAACAGCCGGACACATTGCTCGGTCAGCCTCGCCACCCTGTCAACACCGCGCAGCGGACTCCAATAAGAGTTTGACCCAACACCGGTAAACAGGTCTCAGAACAAATCAAATCCTGCCACCACCCCAACGCAGATGCCAGTTCCCGGAGTGCCCGCGTCAAAGCTGGATACGTGGCAACACTAACCACCACCACCCTAGCCACCACCGCCACCACCACCACCACCGCCGCCACCACCGATGTTATTCGCTAACGGGAATCAAACTCAGGTGGCCGAGCTTCTGTGCAGTAGGCGATCTAACTGCTGCCCCACCACCACCACCACGATTGTGGTGACCCAGGTCACGCTTGTATTAAATGAGAAATCTATTCTGGTCTAACGAGGTCGTATCGTGGTTCAACAAAATCAACTTGAAGCCGACTTCGTTTGTGTCATGTTGGGGGTGGGGGCGGGATGTTGCACATTTGTGGTGCATTGATTTATTTTGTTTAAAATCAACGAGAGGTGAACGCGACGGCAGCAGATGGAAACATTCAACGGACGTCATTTTTTATTGCTGCACAACCATCGACCACTCGCTCACCGTTTTGTAAATCCATACAAAACACACCAAAGAAAGCGAGGCGGTGCCCAGCACGCAGTCCACACCAAAACAGGCACCGCCCTCACTTGTTACAAAGTCACCGTCGCGACAACAACAGCAGCAACAACAACAACAGCGGCGGCGGCAGCAGCAGCAGCAGCGGCGGCAACGGCGCTTCGAGGCATGGATCGGCGAACAGGAGAGCGGTAGAAAAACACAAAAAAATCCACTCCCAACGCAGGACGACTTGCCTAGGACGCGCGCGTGTGTGTGTGTGGCCCTGTGGCGAGACCCCGACGATCCATCTCATCCACAGCCTTCCCTTCCGTATCGCGCTGCCACAGAGGTGAGCGACGGTCGGCGGGCTACGGCGGCGCACAAAGACCGACGTTTCGCAACCACGTCCTTCGGAAGCTTCATCCTCCGTTTCGGTTCCCGAAAAGGAAAGAAAAAAAGATTCGAGCGCGTGCGGCGGAGACGTCGGACGCCGTGCCGGGCGAAACACGCGGAACGACCCGACAACACCACCGATCATCACGGTTGGCTACGTACGGTGTGAAAGAAGTTCAACGTACATACGTTGGTCATCCTCGAGCAGCTTTTGGCTCGCCATCGAACAAAGATGGCCACTGCATTGCACGCTTTCAGATGCGCTTCTGCGGCCGTCTGGAACGTTCTTCCTCCCGATATCAGGAAGCCGCTGTGAGCTATGCACGTTGACATCTTGATTGAAACCTAATTTCTTTAAAACTGATGTTTGTGTTTAGTTTGTTGTCTTTCCCCCGCACCTCCGATTATCACGTTTGGCTACGTACGGTGCGAAAGAAGTTCAACTTACATACATACGTACAGCACATCAGAAAAGATCTGGAGCAACGATGTCAAGACATGGTTGAAATTGTACCCTCATGAGACCCAGTCGGAGATGTCATCGTCGTACGAATATTTTCACCAGCAGTTGATCGAGAATGCGTGATTGCACTTGCACGCCGGGCTTCCGTTCTCGAGCCACATCAAAAACGCTGATGTAAAACTGAGCGACCGTGAGCCCAAGATCACGGGGAGAACATACTTGGCTGTGCCTGCCATTTTGACAGCGCGTTTGTTCGTGTGCATTAGTTTGCGTTAGTGAGCAAGCAGTGAAGTCTGCGTGCATACGTGCGCGTGTACGTGCGTGTGTACGTGCGTGTATACGTGCACGTACACACGCACGTACACAAGGCGGAGGGTTCCGGCTCGCTGCCACAGCCCCACGCTGGCCGCTGGGCGCTGGACGCGATCCCCCCGGCAGCGCTTGGAGCGGCGCCTTCCAAGGCGGGCGGAGCGAGGGGGCGGCGTGAGATGGTGAGGAGGTTGGGACGGTGATGAGGTTGAGGTGGTGAGGAGAGGGGAGGCAGCAGCGACGGGGGGAGGTGCGTCCGCCCGCTGTGGGCTGACCCACGGCCCAACCGCCGTGTCAGGTCATGGCGCACTTCTTTGGGGAGTCGTTCTCTGCGTTGGCTTTCCTCCGCATGCTCTCTGCAACGGGGACAAAGAGCAGCAGCAGCAGCAGCAGCCGCAGCCGCGCAACCGGTCAGCCGCAGCTGGGAAGAGGACGGCGGATGGAGTCCGCCGTCATCTGCCCGAGCTTGAGCTCCGTGTCGGGCATCTTAGACAGCCGGCGGCAGGGTCAGTGTTTGACCCTCGGCACGCACACAAAGTAGCGGGGCGTCTGCATCAGGAGGGCGAAAGGTGTGTCTTTGTGTGTCAGGGGAGCGGTAGTGTAGCGGTTAGCGCGCTGCGTTACAAACCCGACGGACCCGAGTTCACGATTATCTGAACCGATCTTGGGCCTCCCCTAGGTCGACTCAGCCTCAAATGGGTAACCTGGTGCGGTGTGTAAACATCGCCATGGGGGAGACAAAGGCGGCGGGGAGTGGTGCTGGCCATCCACCCCCTCGTGTGCCGTGCCGGTCTTCATTAGTTACTCGCTAACAGCACTTGCCCCAACAGTCTGTTAAGGCTATACGGGGGATCTTTGTCTTTGTGGACAGACACAAATCCCCCGTATAGGGGGGGGGGGGGGGGGGGGTGGTGTTCTTTTTTTCAACAGCGTGCTTCAAAAAAATGTCAACACTTACATGGGACTATCGTTTTTAATGGAAAAAGAACGGATAATACACTGTAGCATTATAACAAATGTATGTTAATAGCTTCAAAAGGTCAAAGAGTCTCCACTTGTTCGCCATCATCGTCAACACATTCCTAGAATCTTCTCCAGGTGGTCTCCAGAGCCCAGAGGCTGCACATGTCTCGTGGTATTGTTGCAAATTCTCGGAAGTGTTCACATTGTTTTGAAGCACCCTGTGTGTGTGTGTGTGTTTTAGCTCGGCACGCACCGGCCAAGTCGAGCCGGTCGATGCCCACGAGGCCCTCGTAGAGGCTCTTGATGGGATTCTCCCGGGCCGTGAGGACGCCGTGGAGCCAGATGAGCAGCATCCGGTGGCCGTGCTCCCTGTAGCTCTTGCTGCCTGCGGCGAGCGCATGGCGGGAGGTGGGGCCAGGGTCAGAGGTGGCGTCACAGACAGGGGCAGGGAGGGGGTCGCACACAGGAGCAGAGGCAGGGTCAGAGACAAAAAACGACAGCGTTGTTGAATTCATGCCCAGTGCCACCCATAGCGGGATGGGTGGTGCTGGGTGTGTGTAGTGCTGGGTGCGTTTACGGTGCTGCTTGTGTGTGTGTAGTGCAGGAAGTGTGTGGATGTGGTGCTAAGCATGCGCGGTGCTGGGTGTGTGTGCGTGTGTGGATGTGTGTGTGTGTGGTGATGGGATGGTGTGTGTGGTGCTAAGCGTGTGTGGTGATGGGTGTGTGTGGTGATGGGTGTGTGTGGTGATGGGTATGTGTGGTGATGGGTATGTTTGTGTGGTGATGGGTGCGTGTGTGTATGTGTGTGGTCATGGGTGTATATGTGCGTGTGTGTGGTGATGGGTGTGTGCGTGTGTGTGTGGTGATGGGTGTGTGGTTATGGCTGTGTGTGTGTGGTGATGGGTGTGTGCGTGTGTGTGTGGTTATGGCTGTGTGCATGTGCGTATGGCGATGGGTGTGTGTGCTTGTGGTGCGAAGCGTGCGAGGCGCTGGGGTTGCGCGTGCCGCCCTCGGCATCACCTGTCCACTGCTGCTCGATGGCGCGTATGTGGGCCTCTGTGAAGGTCCAGTGCTGCGCCAGGCACTTCCACTCCCCCACCTTGAGGTGCTGCGTGGACAGACGCCACAGCACGGAGCGCATGTGCTCCGTCTCCGGCCGCTGGTCCTGCTTGAACGTCAGGTGCTTGAGGACCCACGAGTCCGACTCGCTCGGGAGGTTGTCCTGACCACACAAGTGCACGCACGTGTGGCACATGGTGTCCGTTTAGAGCAAGGCCGTAATTTTCATATATATTGGGGGGGGACACATCCCCCCCCAATAATCAAATATGCTCAAAATGTCCCCCGCAATATATTGGTATAAAAAATAATTGCGATGCTATGTAAATAAAAACAACAATTTGCTAAACCTTGGCCACAATATCTGGACTTGTCTTCATATAACAATGCATAGATTTCTGTTTATACGATCGTGGTTATGGTTGTACTTTATTAATCCCTCATCTCTGCCATTACATACAATGAAACAAGAAAAGGTAAAAAAGAAAAAAACAGAACCATGTAATACAATACACTATTAGACATTATTGTTAAAAATAAATACAAAGTCAATCCTATGTGTTGGTGAATTTTTTTATATTTCAGGCAGGAAATTAGTTTTCAAATTTAGATTTTTTTCTGGGGGGGGGGACCCCAGACCCCTGGAAGATTTGGTCCCCCCAATGTTGACTCCATGGCTACGGCCTTGGTTTAGAGGCGCCCTCACCCCCCCCCCCCCCCATGAAAAAAAGTCATCAGGATGCTATAAACCCCATTCCCAGCCAAGATGACTGATCAGAGATGAGCTCAGTGCTAGGCCAAGCAGGGTAACACTCAGGCCCCGCTGCTTTCCTGCCCTCTCACCCCTCATTTTGTGGGGGAAACCAATGTCAGATTGACAGCAGTGATGTTGCTTAGCAGTGAGGCAGTGAGACACGGGCTGAAAACGTGAAAGTGTTACTTCTCGTGTGCAGGAGCTGAAGGTTCGAGCTGGAGTCTCAGATTGTAAATAAACTCGCCTGCAAAAAGTCTCCATGTCCATGGTTACGCGCCCGTTGTTAACATCTGAATTCATATCCTTAGGTTTTTTCGGTAAAGTCACGTAGGTAAAAACATTAAAAAGTAAAATAAAATAAAAATCACGACGTTTCGGAGGCAACACAAGCTTCCGTCTTCAGGTGGTACCGTCACAGCCACGATAGCTATATCAAGTAAATGAGAGATTTCAGAAGTTAAAATCTCTCTCAGCTGTATCAAGTAAATGAGAGAGATTTCAGGAGTTACTCCTGAAATCTCTGCGGATCCTCTGCCCGCGAGTGTCTCTGCAGTGAAGTGTATCGAGTCGATCCTCCCCGGTCAGAGTTCGAAGCTTAGTAATTCAATCAGGAGTTACTCCTGAAATCTCTCTCATTTACTTGATACAGCTGTCGTGGCTGTGACGGTACCACCTGAAGACGGAAGCTTGTGTTGCCTCCGAAACGTCGTGATTTTTATTTTATTTTACTTTTTAATGTTTTTACCTACGTGACTTTACCGAAAAAACCTAAGGATATGAATCATTGCAGTCACGAAAGCTTCAAATCTAGAACATCTGAATTCACCGATCTTCACTTTTTAACAACCAAAAGCGCAGCCACCGCAACCAGACACACACTCTGCAGTCTACAAGTGCCACACATTGAAAAACGTGCCCAAGACGTCCTCTCTCTCTCTCTGTGTGTGAAGCAGCTGTCATTATCTGCCTCCCTTTGCCTTCCCTGGCGAGGGACTCCTCAGTCCCTACGCTCTTAAAAGAAGATGCCTCTCTGTGTGTGTGGGTGGAGTGGAGTGGGAGCGGTGGTGCAGCGGTTAGCGCTACGCTGCGCTACAAACCTGGCCACCGAGTTCGATTCCCGCTCACGGCCAACACTAGTGACGATTATCTGAACCGGTCCTGGGCCTGCCTCCCCTAGGTCGATTCGGTCTTAAATGAGTACCTGGTGCGGTGCGTTTAAACATCGCCACTGGGGAGACAAAGACGGCTGGGCGTGGTGCTAGCCACCCACCCCTTTGGGAACCGTTCTGGCCATCATAGGTGCTCGCTAACAGCACTTGCCCCAACAGTCTGTTAAAGCCATACGGGGGATCTTTGTCTTTGTGGGTGGAGTGAATAAGCTCTCTCTTGATGTTTCAGATCCAGGCTCAAGAGCCTCTGCGGATCCTCTGCCCGCGAGTGTCTCTGCAGTGAGGTGCATCGAGTCGATCCTCCCCGGTCAGAGTTCGAAGCTTAGTAATTCAATCAGTTACCAACTCAGAATAAGATTCCCACTTATACGGCGCTGGCTGAAATTGCGCCACGCCTCATGCCATCCAATTTCAACGCCCTACTGTCGTCTAGCCACGCCCCCTCCCCCCCCCCCCAGTGGGAGCTTCCCCTACAAGGCACAAAAGGTGTACTCAGAACCGGCTTGAAAAATGGGCATCAGTCTACGAGTAGAGGCGATGTGGATTTTAATTTCCGTTGTCGGTGATTTTGTAGAAATAAGAAAAAATCAACGTCATTTACAGATTTTATTAATCCAATGGTGATTTTACGAACCGAATGTTAGATCGAGAACTCAAGAGGCGAGGAGCCAGAACTCAAAATCCGTCGTATGAAAATCTGAACAGGTGAGGGTCTAAACAGGTGATCACCTGCACAGGTGAGGGCTTGAACAGGTGAGGACCTGAACAGGTTACAGCCTGAATTGTGAGGGACAGTGTCTAGAGATAATTTTATTTTAATCTAGACGTTATATGAATTCAAATATTATCTACAATGCATCACCATTTACAATGCAATAGAAATCATAATTTATGACAGATAGTCATGTGTGGTGGGATAAAATGTGGGTACTCCTACTTCTTCAAAGACATCTCGTCATCATGGAAGAGTAGGCAGAAAACACACTCTAGAAGAGCTGTCTTGTGGCGGACACTCCGTCAGCAGTGGCACGATCAAGCAATTGCAGGGCTGCACCTTTATCTTTACAGTTTAAAGTTAAATTATAATTTGTAATGATAAAGCGGCAGAATGCGACTGCGTCTCACGACACTGGAGCGTTCGAGGTGCAAGCGGAGACTCGAAGAAAACGGGGCACACGGAACGCCGCATGACCCACACATCCACACCTTCTCCCACTTGTAGAACCGGTCGGCCTTTATGATCATGTCCACCATGCTGATGTGGTTTCCCCGGGCTGCGATGTCCAGAGAAGTCTTCCCCTGCTATGGGGACACAATCGTGGTGGGGTCAACGTCGGTGATGGGATCGTCGTGCGTGCGTGTGTCCGTGTGTGCGTGCGTGTGAGCGGCGCGTGAAAACCCTTCAGCGGTCGAGTCGGGGCTATGTAGGTACTAACTGAGGCCACAGCCACTGCGAGTGGTATGTGTATGTATGTTGAACTTCTTTCGCACCGTACATAGCCAACCGTGCTCATTGGAGGTGCGGGGAAAGGATAATAAAATAAACTAATTGCGAAATACGTAACAATCGTCGCTGACTACTGTGCAAATACTTGGGAGGACCTTCCTGACATGAATATCCTTGAGGCTCAGCGGGGCTTTCCTGGAGAATCAAGCATAGTAATTAACCCCTTTCCCATTCCGAGATGTCTGCAAGTTGCAGGGTGGGTGTACGTTCAACATCGAATTTCGGAATGTGCGAGCGCTTCAGCGTTAATTTCATTGAGAGGCGTAAGGGCTGTCGTTTTTAAAGACGTTGTACTCACTGCAGAGAACTGTAGCGACACGACCGCACTCTATGATAGCGGGCGCCATATTGTGCCACATGCCCTCCTGCATGGCCTTGTGAGAGCCTTGGTACCAATGAAGTTATTTTAATAAATGTTTTCTTCCGATTCCGTTCCGATGACATTCTGTTCTGATGACGTACGTGTACGCGCGTGAACGTCATCCGAACGGAACCAGAGGAAAAAAACTGATGATGTACACGTACGTCATTAGAACGGGAAAGTATTAATAACGAGAATAGGTAACGTGACAATGAGTTGTGGATCTGAGAAGCGAGGGCCGCCCCTTGCCTTGTCCACGAGCTTCAGGTTGACGCCGGAGATGAGGATCATCTCGGCGATGTCCTGCCGCGCGTGCTCTGCCGCGACGTGTAGGGGGGTCTGCTGCCTCTGCGCGCCGCGCACAGCAACGGAGAGAGCACGGCTCGCGCACCTGCCACCACGCGACGCCAACATCAGCACCGGCTACAGCAGCCCACACCAACACTCGCACTTGGAGCCTTACGCCACGCCAGCCGCAATGCCGTTCAACGTCTGATAACTGGGCAACCCCAATGACCCGTCAACCCCAAATCACCGTAACAGCACTCTCACCTGAACACCGCGTAAAACTCAACACCATGGCGACGCCCAACACCATGGAAACCCCACCGCCATGGCAACGCACCAACATTGCTCTAACATTAACACCGCATCCAACTCCACACCACGGCAACCCCGACATCACCCGTACGTCAGCGCCGCGTGGGAGCGCGAATGAGAGCGTGCTGCGAGCGTGCTTCACGGACGTTGTCGGCGATGTCCAGGTCCCCGTCAGCGTCGATGACGAGCTTCACGATGAGCGGGAAGTTGTGGAGCACGGCGAGCTGCATGGCCGTGGTGTGGTGCTGCGGAAACAACAACGGCAACGACGATGACGGCAACGGGGTAGCGCCGCAGAGCTGGCTACGTATGTATGTGGAACTTCTTCTTGGTTCTTTCGGTAAAGTCACGTAGAAGGGAAGTAATAAAATAATGAAAATAAAACGTAATAAAATATTTTATTATGTTTTATTTTTATTACTATAAAATAATTATTATTATAAAATTTTATTATAAAATAATACAAATAAAACGTAATAAAATATTTTATTATGTTTTATTTTTATTATTATAAAATAATTATTATTATAAAATTTTATTATAAAATAATAAAAATAAAACATAATAAAATATTTTATTATGTTTTATTTTTATTATTATTATAAATATTACTTCCCTTCTGCGTGACTTTACCGAAAGAACCAAGAAGATGAATCCCTGCAGTCATGAAAGCTTTAAATCGAAATTTATGATGAACTTCTTTCACACCATACGTAGCCAACCGCGCCGCGTCACGACGGGCCGCCTCGCCAGCAGGCAAGGGATGTTGTTAGCGAGCGCCTGTTAGAAGCGGGCGAGGTACACGAGAGGGAGATGTGGTGGGCACCCTACGACCCACCCTGCCCACCCACCCTCACTGCCAGGCGCGGCACCCGCAGCGGCACGCTCTTCAATTCCCATCGCGCTCTGCTGGTAAAAGTCTTTCGCGCAGAGAGACATCTCCCATGGAGGGGAGAGGTGGAGCGGGTGGGAGGGGGGCAGAAGCAGCCCCACTTAGCAAGCTCGATGAGGTTGCAAAGCGCTGCAGTTTAAATCGTTTGCTTTTATTGTTATGACCGTTTGCAAACACTTGCTCTGTGACTCTGAAAAAGCCTCACGGGCTCAGATTTCAAGGACTCCATTGATTCTTTATCCCGCATTTTGTAGACTATTTATTTCGTAGATTCATTATATTTATTTCCACCCCATTATCCTAAAAGCTGCGGCCATTCCAGACGCACGTGAACATCGAACAAATTCACCTTGCAAAGGCGGCGTTTTCCTACCCTCCCACCCACGGTATCTGAGCTGCTAGGCTCCAGGCCTGGAGGCTCACAATGAAAAGCAGCCGAGTTATGATTAGGAGGCGCCAGTGATCGTGCGGCAGATGATGACCTTGGAGCGAGCTGATCGGACGATGGCTTGGGGGAAGAAAGCAGAGAACAAGTATAACCCGTAAAAACAAAGTTTTTCATAATAAATCCTTTATATGCGTGGCGGCTAGAGTCCTCTCGTCCTCTGGCTTGAGATGGCTGCCACCTATGGGTCAGATGATTGCATGGCAGCATTAAGCAATTGGTAATTAAATATAATTTTTTGTCCTAAAAAGTGTAACATTTTGGAAAATGTCAGCTCGATTGGATCACGGGAAGTGGGTTAAAAAACGACCGAAAGATTTGCACGGTCGTAAGCAAGCAAGCAAGCACGCAAGTGAACTTAATATAAAGGATTTAAAAAGGGGATAAGGGACGGCAATGCCAAAGTGGAGCTGTGCACGGACAACACGGAGGGAGAGCAACGTTGGGTGCCTCTGCAATGTGTGGGTGTTCGAGCTCGGTGCGGATGAGAGCAAAGAGGTGAACGGTGGCAGAACGAGGCCTTGCCATTGGCGGAGGCAGCACGGGGCGAAGCTCAGGAGGCCACTGGCTGTGGTGAAGGAGTCCACACGCCCGTGTGTGACTTATGTACGCACGATGAACTTCTTTCGCGCCGTACGTATCCAACCGTGCTAATCGGAGGTGTGGAGGGGGGGGCAAAGACGGCAAACTAAACACGCAAAAACTGATCTCAAGAACAACGGCGAGCGAGTGGCCGTGATGAATCAGCGGATTCAGGATGGACCAACCAAACCACTTCACCGTCCACCTCCCCACCGCTCACCGCCAAACCTCTGCCCCCACCCCTCCTTCCCCCGGGGGCACTCACGTGGTCCACGGCATCCACGGCGATGCCGCCCCGGATGAGGAGCTGCGCCACCTCGTCGTGCCCGCTCCGCGCCGCGTAGTGCAGCGCCGTCATGCTCTTCTGCGCACACACCACACACATGCCACACACACCACACACACCACGCACGCCACACAGACCACACATGTCACACACACCACCACGCACGTGGCGTCGCCGCGACGAGGCCACGACGTTCGACAAGAAAGGGGTCGTCGACTCAGAGGAGGACAACGGCGATAATGTTGACCCATTTGGGGGGGAGAAATGCAAGCGATGTCCGCGTGTGTCGCCAAACCCGCCAATCGACAAGGTTTGTCACGTAAACAAAACGTGCCAATTCGTTACGAGTACTCTCCAACACACAACTCATTTTCCCTGTACAAGAATACGGGGTAAACCGTACAGTGGCCGTGGCGGAAGGTTTGACGCCACTGCTGGTGGCGAATGTAAACGAGCGGCACGGAGAACCCCCGCCCCCCCCCCCCCCCCGCCGCCAAAAGGAGTGCGAACGGAATAAAACGCTTCCAAATTAACGGTGAAATTCGCTTGCAATTAAAAGAGTTGGCACATTTGGCGGGGGTTGCCTTCCTAAAAACGGGGACCATGGCCGCTGTGGCCATGGTCCAGCCCACCGTGAGAAACGGTGGTTCATGCGGTGGGCTGGCAAATCCGGAGGTCGCCAGATCGATTTGACCTCCCTAGCGGCGGCAGTTGAAGCAATGGGGCGCGTTTCTTAAATCCGTTCGTCTGTCTCCGCCCAGCGGTATGGATGGCTACTCCACAGTTACATGGACACGTGTGTATGTTTAACTTCTTTCGCACCGTACGTAGCCAACCGAGCTAATCGTTAGGTCACGTATGGCGGGGTAAATTGTGGGTGCATTCATCTTTCTCAAGATGCCCGCCCACGAAATGCCCTCTGGGTTAGCTCTCTGGAGCTCCCTCCAGCGGTGGCCATTCCGCCAGCAAGGGATTCGTAGGTGGGACGTTGCAGGGCTGCTCCTTTATCTTAAAAATCTGCCATCAGCAGCTGAGCACGGCGAGCAAGCGAACGTGCCACCGTGCTACCGTCGGCGGAGCGCCATCATCGTATATCGTACAGAGAACGTCGGCGGACATGCGGATCGTGAAGAGAGAGAGAGAGAGGAGAGCGCCCACGAGTGAATTGGTTAATTGCTGCGCACTCACGCTCGACTGCGCATCGATGTCACAGCCGGAGGACAGCAGCAGCTGCACGCAGTGGTGATGCCCGCCCTCGGCCGCGAGATGCAGAGCCGTCTGTCCCGCCTGGGACTCGCACACACGCGCACGCTCGTGCTTGGACATGATTGCACACGCGCACAGACACGCACACGCACAACGGCAGTAGGAGATTCGCGACTAAGTTACGATGACGTCAAACGCACCGCTCGTGTCACGCACGCAAAGCTCCGGTCCCTTGCCTTCACGGAGTGTTGGGGCAAGTGCTGTTAGCGAGCGCTTAATGAAGGCCAACACAAGCACGTGACGGCGTGGGTGGCCAGCACCATGCCCGGCCACCTTTTTTTCTCCCTCGTGGCGACGTCGACTGCACACCGCACCAGGTACTCGTCCGAGACGTGGTCGCCACACACCGACCGGTAACGCACCGTGTTCTTGCCATCCATCTCCGCGCCGGCCTCCAGCAGCTTCTTCACGACGGCGAGGTGGCCTCGCCCGGCCGCGAGGTGCAGCGGCGAATTGTTGTCCTGCAGGAAGGAGACGGAGGAAGGCAGCGCGGGGAAGGACGACACACGGACCACGGCGGACATCGCCTGGCTCAACGGAAACACCGCTCAGCCTCGAAGCCGAGTGCAAGAGGGGACGGCAAGGCCAGGGCGCTGCCATCGAGAGTGCAGGCTGCGCAGGCTGCAACTACACCACCCCTGCGGTGTAGAGGTCAACAAAGTCAAACGCTCATATTCTCTTCGCTCTCCTCGAACCTCTGCGTCCTCTGGAGCGCGTCTCGAGATCTGCTGCTGATCGTCCCCAGAATCAGGACTGTTCTGGCTCCAGCGGTAGCGATTGTCCGTGGCTGCTCGGGACGTCCGGAACTCTCTCCCCGCTCCATATACGGAGCTTCCAGGCTCGTCCAGGCTCGTTCAGGAACCCACACGAGGAACCACGAGCCAGTGCTCCGCTTCTCCGCGTCCGCGACACGACTACGATGACTGAGTTTCACAACATTTGTGTGAGTTACAAAGCGTTTCATTTCTATTACCGCGAATAACCCAATTGCTGTACTACCCCTGACACTCTCGCTGCCACTGCACAGAGTTGGCGGGTTAGGATTATTCAACACACATGGGACAGGTTTCGCAATCATCAGGCGCGTGTTGCATTCGAGTGTAAGTAAACTGGTGGACGTGGAAGCCACGGCGTGGTGGGTTGTGAGAGGAATGGCGCTTAAAAAAAAAACCCTGCCACGATCTATTCCAACTGCTGGGAGTGAGGAGGTGCCAATCCCTTTTGGGGGGGGGGGGGAGAGCAGGGAGGGATGGGCGGCATGGGGGGGGGGGGTGGCCTTGTGTCAGCGCGTCTCACCTTGTCGCGCATGGCGAGGGAGCTGCCGCACGAGAGGAGGTACTCCACAGCCTGCAGCTGGCCCTCCTCCGCTGTCAGGTGCAGCGCCGTCTGGCCCAGCTGGTCCGCAGGGGGGGGGGGGGGGGGCACACGCACACGGTCACATCGATAGAGTCAAGTTTATTTCGTTTGACCAGGTTGTGAACTCAAAGAGACCAGGACATTGTCACAGCATTTCATCTGCCAGTAGAGGGCGAATGATTGCCACGTGTAATCCCAAATGAGTTATTTTTTTAGCGGTGTCATTTGGCCATTCTGGAGCCCGACGCCGGCACACGATTGGCCCACTCTCGCGAATGACGTCAGGGGATCTTTAACGGCCACAAAGCAGGTGGCGTGGAGTGCTTAAACGGTTATCACACGCTACAGTATTAACCAGGGTGGCCGCTGGATTTGAACCGCGAGCCTCTGCAACAAGCGGCGAACGCGTTACTGCTGAGTCGCGTCACTGTACTTAGTACAGCAAGTTCAAGTTCAAGTTCAAGTTCATTTATTAGGTATAGCACAACCCAGGGTGGCGAGATGTGAACTCCCTCGCCTCGTATGCAGGAGGTTGTGGGTTTGATCCCTGACCCCGACGCCGATACATTTGGAGTTTGCAGTTCTCTCTTCTTGTAGTCGCGTGGAATTTTCTCCGGGTTCTTCCCTCCACTTATAGAATCAACACGCGTTTAGAGTATTTGGTTGCTCCAAATTTACACGTGACAATAAGCCACTTCGTTGAGCTATCATTTGTGGCCAGGCCGCTTCTGAAAAACAGCTCTCTAGCTCAGTGGGCCTTCACTGGTATTTTGTATTTATATATAAACGAGCGTAAACAAGAAACCTTCGTGGTCTTGTCGATGTCGAGGTCTTCCAGGTCCTCGATGATGAACTGCATCACGGCGGCGTGGCCGCGCTGGGCGGCACAGTGCAGCACGGTGAGCCCGCTCTGGTGGGGGGGGGGGGGGGGGGCAGGGGGGGGGTCCACGCAGACAAATGGAGAGACCAGCCCCCTACCACCAACCCCCGCCCCCTCCCCCTCTCGTAGAACCATCAGAGGGGAGGGATGTTACGACGCGGCAATCCACGACGCGTGGAACAGGAGACCCAAGACTTGGAGAAAAGGGGGTCTGCCCCAGCGTCAGAGAAGACCTTGAGTCGTCGTGCAGCGAGCAAAGACGCAGAAGCGATGCTCAAGGCTCGCAATGCGTACGTGGAATCGCACGCGTGAGGAAGGGCGTTTACATTGTAGCTTGTGAATCGCGGCGCGGATCGTGTTGTGTTGGTTGTCATGGGACCGTTTCATGCCTCCAGCCACTAGAGGCCACGATGCTATAATGTAATTGATTGTTGAATTTAATGGCGACCCTGAATCGCTACGATTCAATTCATCATGAAGGGGTCGAATATTTATATCCCGACCGCTCACACCGTGCTACCAGACTCACGCACACACAACAGCCGTCATCCACCATTAAGCTCCTGTGCCAGGCTAGGTACACTTTGAAAGCGCATGAAGTATTGAAGGCTTTCTGGCAGGTCACTGCACAGACCCAGGTTAATTGACTGCGATGACTGGCAGATTCAGCACCTGCTCTCCCCACTGTGCCACCTTGCTGTGTTTTGACCGCCCGGCGCTCTGCTTGTTGTTGTAAGCGTCGCAATGAACACACACACACAGGCAGGAACGCACGCATGCAACATCACCACGCGGCTCGGTGAGACAGACACAACACGTGGGTGGTTGGCTCTCTCCATTGGCGCAGCGTGGTCGGCATGGGCCCTGGTGCCAGCAATGGAAGAGGGCCCGGTCCCTTGTCCAACTTCCCCCCACTGTTCGTAGCAAAGCGCCAGTGCCCCTCGGACCCCTGGGCCCTGGTGCAGTTGCACCGCCTGCACACTCGACGGCTGGGCCACTGGCTCTCTCACCTTGTTCTCGCACGTGACCTTTGCCCCCGCGGACACCAGCATCTGCACCACCTTGCGGTGGCCGAACCAGGAGGCAAGCAGCAACGCATTCATGCCGAACTGGGTGGTGACAACACAAAACACAGTCACGGAATATGACATAATTATAACTTTTTTCAACTTTAAAAACACATTATCCCCCAATGTAATTCCCATTGTGCTATCGGTGTCATATCATGGTGAGCTCAAGAATCCATTTGGATCCCTTGCAGAGCAGTTTGGCCATTCGTGGTGTAGAGCGAGATGGGAGGTAGGGCAGTGCGTGGAGGGGAGTTGAGTGAGATGAGAGATGAGAGGTCGGAGAGTGCGTGGAGGTAATGAGAGTGAGATGAGAGGGGAGAGATAAGAGAGTGGGTGGAGGGGGGGAGAGTGAAATGAGAGAGGTGAAGTCGGAGAGTGCGTGGAGGGATGGAGAGTAAGATAAGAGGGGAAAGGTAGGAGAGTGGGTGGAGGGGAGGAGGGTGAGATGAGAGGGGAGAGGTAGGATAATGCGTGGAGGGGAGTAGAGTGAGATGAGAGGTAGAATAATGCGTGGAGGGGAGTAGAGTGAAATGAGAGAAGAGAGGTAGGCAGGGAGCGGGTGAGTAGTGCGATCATCAAACATCTTCAGCCGAGGCCCCGGGAGGCACGAGGCAAGGTCCCCACCTTGTCCTCGCTGTCCACCACGGCCTCGTGCTCCAGCAGAGCCTTCACCGCCTCCTCCTGCCCGCTGCCCGCCGCCAGGTGCAGTGCCGTGCGGTCCACCTGCGTGCGCACATTTAATCAATTACTGACCCCTCACTGGCAGACGAATGTCCACTTGCAGGGGCAGCTGCCACTGGGGGTCCCCTGCCACAGAGAAACCTTAGATGGCACTTGTATAGAAAATGTGCGGGATGAACGTTCGTTGATGATTGCTGAGTTAGCCGCATCACTCTGCTGGGCCCGATGGTGTCGGCGAGCGCCGATTAAGGCTTGCGACGCACGCAATGGGACAGTTGGGTCTCACATCGATGCGAGGCGACCCGGGTGCTCACTGCGGGCTGAGCTGACCTCGAGGCGAGTTGAAGCACGAAGAGTTACGGACTGCGGCTGATTAAATAGTAAAGGTGAGTCTCAAGACTCGTCATTGAGTATTGACGCCCATTTAAGACTTCTATGGGTACATGAAGTTTTTTTTTCATAACTATGAAACAGTCAATTAAAGTGGCACAATGCGCACACGTCCGCAAATATATCTTGGAAATGCAACACTTTTGATCTTAATGTAGCCCTCAATCAGAGGGACCCTGCATCGTTGTGGCTTCCAGCCCACGTGGCTGTTCCGTCAAGGTGGTTTCCTCCACATTGAAACCGGCGGTGGGGCATCGCTCATCTCGCCTGGCAGCCCCGAGTCAGTGATGGAAAAATTCCACATTGCCATGACGGAGGCCGGTCTCTCCACAGGACCTGCAGGACCACAATGCATTTCTGAGCAACTCTACCCAGGCAGCGTTGCGGCGTGGCTGGCCTGGGCCTTGGCACAAGCAACTAAAATTGTGTCTCTTCCCCAAAGCCCTCTTCGTACACCCGGCGCCTGGGCCCCTTCGGCCGTGGAACCTCGGTGCAGTGGCACCACCGTGCCGAACGCTCTCGGCTCACGCACGCTGCTCTTGGCATTGACGTCGACGCCCTTCTTGATGAGCTCGCGCAGACGCACCACGTCGTTCCTGCGCGCCACCTCGTGCAGCTCCTTCTCCGACTTGAGAACTGCGGGTGCAATTGACAAAGACAAAGATCAACCCGTATAGCCTCAACAGCCCATTGGGCAAGTGCTGTTAGTGAGCACCACGTCGTTCCTGCGCGCCATCTCGTGCAGCTCCTTCTCCGACTTGAGAACTGCGGGTGCAATTGACAAAGACAAAGATCCCCTGTATAGTCATCAGGGAGGGTGCTGTCAGTGAGCACCTATGAAGGCCGGCACGCCACACGAGGGGGTGGGTGGCCAACACCACGCCCGGCCGCCTTTGTCTCCCCAGTGGTGATATTTACACGCCAGACTGAGTCCACCTAGGGGAGGCCCAAGACCCGTTCAGATAATAATCACCGATGTTGGTCGTGAGTGAGAATCGAACTCGGGTCACCGGGTTTGTAGCGCAGCGTGCTAACCGCTAAACTACCACTACCCACACACACACGCTCACTCATGGGATGGTGCACGCCATCACACACGGATTCTGGTGCACATTGTGGGAGTGGGTCCTGCCCTCTCCAATTCCACCCACCCCCCACCCTACTCGTAGCACGGAACCTGGGTCTCTCCGGCCTGTAGTCCCACGTGCAGTTACACCACCTACACACTTGATAGCTATGCCACTGCTTATTCGTTTTAATTCATGTACAGCCAAAGACTGGCTGGGTAAACAGGCGAGAAGATGATGAATTGAATGCGAATGCCAGTCTCCAGGTCTACAGAATAACCTTGGACCGGCAACGTTGGATCATTCCCTCCACCGATAGCACCAAACATCAAACAATAGCCCCTTCTACGTGACTTTACCGAAAGAACCAAGAAGATGAATAGCCCACCCCTCCCGTGCAGCACTGTGTGAATGTCACAACCCATCCTTAACACAATCCAGTACACACACACTGCACTATATACTGCAGATACATACGAGGTTTCTACACATACCGTGTACATGTTTAAATATAATGTATACTGACTGAATGTACAATTTTACGATTGCAGTACAGGACTATTTCGAGCCGGCTTTTCACTCCACTGCTGGATTAACGCCTCCGCTTCCCGTGTCGGTGATGGAGGTTGCGTGACCATACTTCACCACGCCGGTCAGTGCGGGTTCGTGAAGCTGAGGGTGCCCGGTTTACGTGCGGAAAATCGACCTCATTCACAACTCGGTGCGCTCACCACTGAGCCACCGCTCCTCCAAACGCATGCAATCATATCACGCAGTCGATATGGACTTAGCTTCTCGAGTGATAACGTGACATGCAACACGAGGTGTTTGCAATCCTGCAATGTCAGACAAGAAGGTGGTAGCTTGGTGGGGCGCGTTGCTCTTCGAGTTTTATTCCCAGCCACGGCTGACATCAGTGGCACCGTTCCTCACCCCCCCCATCCACTCCACAACACTTCATTGAATGCTAGCCCGAACCAACCAGGCAACCATCGCGGGACGTATGGTCAAAAATCCACAATCCACGCATTACCGACATTGGGAAGGAAATGCTTCCATCCGTCCATCGGTGGATATAGAGAATGGCTGATTACGTATTATACAGTATTTTCGATTTTAAATTAACGTGTTGTGTTTTGGTTCACCCCAAACGCGCCGGATAAACACGGAATCTGTGCGCGCAGCTCCATTCATTAAATCAATCACCCACTCATTCACTGATCCACCCATCCGTCGCAAGATCTGCGTGCCCTGCCTGTCTTGCGGGCTACAGTACGGGCACGGCTTCGCATCCTACAACGAATGCGCGAAGGAGCGGACCAGCCATCTTAGCGCAAACCCTTCATCCCACACATCATCACCATCATCATCATCGCGGTCATCATCGTCACCGCCACCACCATCCTCATCCGCGCTGCCGGTTACTCACGGACGTCATCCTCCGACACGAGATCATCCTCCATGGTGGTGGCGGTGATGACGATGGTGGAGCTGGGAGCGCACGGCGAGGCGCGCGCCGCGCTCAGGAGCAGCTGTGCAGCGCAGCGGGCGGGCACACGGCTCACGGCTCACCCGAGCACATGGGGCATGGCTCACAACCCACGGCTCGCAGCTCACCCGAGCACATGGGGCATGGCTCACACTGGCCAAGGGAGCATGGCTCACTGCCCATGGCGCACTCTAGCACAGGGGGTACGGCTCACAACCCATGGTTCATAGCTCACAACCCATGGCTCACAACCCACGGCTCATGGCTCACAACCCATGGCTCACAACCCACGGCTCGTGGCTCACAACCCACGGCTCGTGGCTCACAACCCATGGCGCACTCTAGCACAGGGGGCACGGCTCACAACCCATGGTTCATGGCTCACTACCCATGGCTCATGGCTCAACCCATGGCTCATGGCTCACAACCCACGGCTCATGGCTCACAACCCACGGCTCATGGCTCACAACCCACGGCTCATGGCTCACAACCCACGGCCCATGGCTCATAACCCACGGCTCATGGCTCACAACCCACGGCTCATGGCTCACAACCCACGGCTCATGGCTCACAACCCACGGCTCATGGCTCACAACCCACGGCTCATGGCTCACAACCCACGGCTCATGGCTCACAACCCATGGCTCACGGATCACCTTAGCACAGGGGAACCGGCTCACAACCCATGGCTCATGGCTCACTGGCCCGGGGCTCATTATAGCCAAGGTTTATGCTTCACTGCCCATGGTTCATGGCTCAATGCACGCGGACCATGGCTTAATGATGAACATGGCTCACTATCCATGGCCCATGGCTAGCTCTCGGTCACTATCCATGAACATGGCTCTCTATTGACTTGCTGCAATTGAGCATGGCTTACTGAACACGGCACTCTGGCTCCCTTCACGCAGCTCACTGCCACGTGGTTCATGCAGCATGGCGATATTGCTGCACATGCCATACTGAACATTAACAGTCGCTCACAGCATGGGTTCATCGCCCTACTGAGGGTTCAGTCTGGTAGTGTTGTAACTGACAGGTTTATATGAGCAATTCACCTCTTGGCTGTCTCGTCAAAACAGAGAGATGAACACAAGCCCCCTAGCGGCTGCTACAGATGCACAAATCGGTACTCCAGTATTATTAAACTCGTGTAATTGCCCATCATGACGGGTTAATAAAATCATAATTTAATGAAAAAGACAATTTAAAGATTGTATTGAATTTATTTAATAAAAATTGTATATCCCATTTAATATAAAATGACAATCATCTCCCAACATTTTCCCTTGAGATGAATTTGATTGAATCGGCACTTTAGTTGGTTTGATTTTTGCATCTTGACAAAGCAACGTTGTCCATGGGGGAAAAAAAAACCTGGTTCGTTGAGATAAAGTCCAAAACACTCAAAAGTCTGTCCTTGTGATTTATTGACGGTGATAGCAAATGCAGGGTTGATCGGAAACCGCCTTCGCTTGAAAATGAATGGTAAATTCTAATCAGACGGTGCCAGATCAATTCTGAGAATGAAGACCATCTCCACAATTGGATTCTGAAATTATTTCAGCTAAAACAAAATTACGGTGCATTTCACGAATCACCAGACGCGTGCCATCGCATAATTCTTTTTTGGGGTTGAGATTTAGAATCGGCATTACAGTGGTTCCTTTTGTTCAAAACCAATTTTTATGAGATGGCATTCCATATGGTGTGACCAGCATGTGCAGAAATTCCATTGGATAATAATAAAATAAAATTGTATTTTCTAGCTACGTGACTTTACCGAAAAAACTAAAGAGTATGGATTCCTGCAGTCACGAAAGCTTCAAATCTAGATGTATAATAATTATTTGTGATGTGACTCGGATCCACATAGCCAACCCGGTGTTACAGTGTTACAGTGTACAGACGTTAGGCACAGATCACCAACACCAAATGTATAATTGTCTTTATTGCATCAACAATAAATAACTTTCATAAAGATGTCAAATTTGTCACCGATGCGCATAAAATCATTTCATTGTAACCATAAATGTGTTTAATTTATCAACGTAACATCATATATTTTTTAAATACTGTGCAGTGCGTAATTATACCGCCGAGGATAAACATATTGCAGGTCCAACACGTTGTGAGAGGACCGATAACACGAATCTGGTTAAAATAAAACACGCACAATGTGAGAACGTCGGCCAAGATGATTCATTTATAGACAGCCAGGGTCATCGACGCACGACCATAGGAACCAATCCTGAAAGCAATAACTTAAAATATTACCGTCAAAATCTACTACCGAAACACTGCAAACGTCATCACTTAAAGTAAATTAAATCATTTTAGGAGAACGTAAAGTGTGCATTGGTGTTGAATAACATAATCGGCAATTTAAAAGAGCGAGTACACGTTAGGATGTTGGTGAAAAAGTGCTTATATCCTCATGGACGCTGTTGTCACAGCTGACAATTTCCCTTTTATCATTATAATCATCAGTGCCACCGCCGTAATGATAAAAGCAAGATCAACTTGAGAACTCCTTCCGCCCGACAGCCTTTCTTTCAGCTCGTTTGAAAAAACCGCTCGATGCCAGGTTTTGATGGAGAGTGCTTCGCCCGTTTCGCTGAAGACTTCTTGGAGCCGACGTGCGACCTGGGCCAGACGGGCAAACAGGAATATCAAACGACCAACGCGTACTTAGTGTTGAAATGCTCACGTGGTTAACACAGACACACAAGTGTGTTCTGTGGTTTTGTGCATTCATGTCACACTTCACAAACCACATCGCATCTTTAGGCATTAAGAGCTGAGCGTGTACACGCCTGTACGTATGTCAATCCACTGGTGGATGAGGGCCTCCAACGCCATGTAGGTTGTGGAGATTATTTGACCACACTTCACCACGTTGGTCAGTGGGGGTTCATGCAAGTGGGGAGCATAGTTACAGTCCAATAATGGATTTAACTGATTAACTGATCACCCATCCAAGCACTATCCAGGCTCAAGCCTGCTTAGCTTCCGAGGTCTGGTGGGATCGGGTGCAATGTAGGTGATTTGGACATATGCTTACACGTCTTTACCGAATATACATTATCGGACAGGTGTATGCTGGTGAGTTCACAACAATTAAATCAGTATTACCTTTTCAGCCCTCCGTTGGAAATGCTAGGCTGCTTCCCTGCCTCTGCTGACCCTGGAATAGACATTGCACAAGTCACCATTTCATACACGTTGTAGCAACACTGGCAATGAAGACGCCTCTCTACTGTTAACGCAGCGATGTACATCGCTCACCAGAGGCACGCGACACACCTCGCCCGTGGCCCATGAGCTCCTCGATGACTCTCCTGTTGAGGCAGACGTCCACGTGGCTGTTGAAAGCCACGAGGTCGGACGAACCTTGGGGGCGGAGACAGATTGGGCAGGTGAGAGCGCCGGCCGTGGCAGGCGCTCTCATCGTCCCGCTTGGAGCGCCGGCTGCTTCACGGTCTCCGGCGCGCTCCGCCAGCGGTCCACCTCCACCCTGCCGATGGCGGGGAACCGCGCATTCTCCGAGAGCGTCTGCCAGCTGGACGGTGGCATTGTTGAAATCCCGCGATTGGATTCGCTTGCTCTCAGATCCCTTGGGGTCGACAGCATCTCTAGCGGCACACGTCTGCCCGCTTTCTTCCGAATGGCACGGAGGTCGATTTATTTTGCACGTCGTTTGTTTTGCACGTCGCTCTACACCTCTGTGCAAGTTCTGCTCGGCACCGGAGGCGGCTGCGCACGCTCTCTGCCGCAGCTCGCCGCCATCATCTTGGGCCGGCGACACATTTCGAGTCGGGCGATCCTTCCCTCCAAGCCCGTGTCCCCACTCCGCGCCGCCGCTGGAACCGCCCACGAGAGCAACACCCGAGTTTTCGGTTTTACCGAGGCACTCGTCGATGTGCGCGTTGAACTCGGACAGGCTTCTGCTGTCCTGGCGCGTGTCGCACACCGGGCACGTGTACACCGGGACGGCGCCCTTGTCGCGCCGGGTCGGGCGGCCATCACCGCCGCGGCCATCGACGCCGCGGTCCGCTGTCGAGACGGGCGAGGGCTGTCGGGTGGCCCTGGCACACCGCCCAGCGGGCTCCAATGTGGGGCCAGGTGCGATGGGTGATGGCTGCCTGGCGAGCTGGCTCTGTCGCTCAGCCTGAACCCGCTGGAAGAAGGACTTGATGCGAACTTCTGGGCGTCCGCTCTTCTCCTCGTGGCCGGGCAGAGCAGCCCCAGTAGCAGAACCCAGTGCACTTTGTTCACTAAGTGGATGAGTCTAAAATGAAATGAAAACAAAAATGTTTGCGATGTTTACACATTTCTGGAATTGGGAATAAAAACACACAAGTGGCACACGATTTGTGCGGCTGGGCCCATACCGAGGGCTCGCCGAATGTCGAGCCATGCGGCAAGACGTCGATGTGCGGCGAGGCGACCTCCCTGCTGCTGCTGCTGCTGCTGCTGCGAGTGCTCTGTACGAACGTGCTGATCGATCGCTGCTTCTGCTTCTGCTCCGTCCGGTCGACGAACCCGGACAGCCTCACCCCTGCACACGCGTGCACGCACGTGGTAAAACAAAGTGTAGCCGGGGAGGATGGAACGCAAATCATCATCATCATCATCGCAACTTCATATTTATACCGCGCCTCCCATGCGCTAACATCGAGTCAACGTGGCAGGGGATCCCCCCAGTGGCAGCTGCCCCTGTGTGGCACAAGGTGAATAGAGCAATGGCCAGCAAGTGGGTATTAGTCTGCCCCCTCCTGATAAGTCACTGAGGAACAGCCATTATGCACTTATGTTATTTACAATGCACTGCTTGCTGAAACATTACATGGACTGAACTTACAAAAAGCATAGCACACAACATATAAATGTCACCATGTTTTGTTTAGCCACGATGATTGAATATTGCGAAGCTTTTAAATGCTGTCGGTCGTGGGAAATTGTTTCGTACCCATGAGCCGCAGTCGGAGTGGCTGGGGAGAGATGTTGTCCATTTCTGTCTTGAGTAGCTCCTTAGCGGCCGCGTAAATCTCTTCCCTTGAGGCCACGGGCCCGGGCAGCGACATCGCTCTGGTCTTCACCTTAAAACTCACGCTCTTTGTCTTCACAGTCACTGTGCGCCCCTGTCCAGCAAGTATAAAAATAAACAGATTGTCCCAATTAAGCCTTACAAGCTGTAGAAGGGCTGCGAGCACCTAAATGAGGCCCTCACGGCACACGAGGAGTTAGCGAGGCCAACATCGTGCCCGTTGAATAAAAGTGAAGTGTAAAGTCTAAATATTGAATAACCTTGAAACCTAAAGCCTAAATAGCATGCACCTGAGGTTAATTACCATAGTAATTGCCATTCATAATAAATTGCAAGCACAATATAATTGACAATGCCGCTGTGTTTGTAATTATACTTGACGCCAGGTACTGCAACGTATACGCTCTCGGCGTTCGCCAAACCACACTAATGTGAGTGTCAAGAATGGTCAAATAACTCCTATTGCCCGCATGGCGTAGGGAGGCCCTCATCCAGCAGTGGATTGACAAACGGGCTGCATATGTACAGTTTATGTCATACGCATAAAAAGAGACACGTACGTGGTGTAAACCATTTCTTATACTACCTACAGATATATCCGTAAGCGAACATCTCTGTCAGACGATGGCATTAAAGACTTTGGATACGAGTGTGGATACCGTCAGTCCCTCCTTGCTGAGGTCATTGGCCAGGTCTCCACACAGCTCCCAGCACAAGCTGTACAGCTCCTCTTGCTTGTTGATCTCACTGAATGTCCTGGAGGAAACACAACGAGTCGACGATAATGGCTCCCGACCGCAGACAGCTTCAACGAAGTCCCTCTAACAATTCTAGATTTGAGGCTTTTTTTCGAATAAACTAAGAGTATGAATCCTTGCAGTCACGAAAGCTTCAAATCTAGAATTAATACCCTCTACGGGGAGGAATTTCACCCACTTGATACAGAAAATCTGGCTGTGACGGTCCCACCTGATGACGGAGACTTGTGTTGCCTCCAAAACGTCGTGATTTATTATTATTTTATTTTTATTAATTTTAATTTAATTTTTTACTTGCGTGACTTTACCGAAAAAACTAAGAGTATCCCTCTAACAACCCAATGGTGGAGACTCACCTCTCTGTGCTCATGCTCTTTCGTTCCCCGTCCCTTTGGAATAAACGCACAAAAAAAACGAATTACAGAGGCGGTGAGACCCCCCAACCTTTAGTTGAAATATTGGGTACAGACTTAAGTGTGAATATTGTATTTTGAGCATTTTTATCCAAGTTCAGCACCGACAATCAAATGGAATGGCCAAAGCCGTCTGTGTGTGTGCTCCTCATGTGGACGATGAGGCCTATCTAAGGGACAGCAACAGCGGGAGCTCTATGGCGCCATCTTCCAGGGCTATTCTGTGACACAAGATAGTCACACTGCTTTGAGCTAGAGTTCCAAATGTAAATCACGTCATCACATCGCATGATGCTGATAACACAAATGGAAAATTATAGAGGAAAATAATCAAGAATTATCATATTCATACGCTTGGATTGTGCAAAGATTTCCAAAGTGTGTTGTCCTCTCGGAAATATTAAATTTAGTGAAAATGTTACTTTCAGAGCTGCACAACGATATGACATCACCCTGCAACGACATCATGGCAAAGCAAGTGGTGTCATCGCATTTATATTTAATTTATATTGGAATCTACTTTATGACAGTTATCATGACCCACTCACACAGACCAAAAAACAGATGGGCAGAGCAAATTAATGAACACTGAACCTTAGGTGGAAAGTGCTCAAAAAAACGAAACAATTGTATACATGAAGTAGCCATATATTATGAACTGCCACTATTATACAGTATTCGCAAAAGACAATAAACTTTCACCGCTCGCCAACCAAATAATTACCCGCATTACACACTGACCCGATATCTCTAGTCATGATCCCCTGCAATCTAAGAAATTCCCAGTGAGATAAATGGACTGTAAACTAAACTCCTAAACTATTTTTTTTATTTGACCAGGTAAGGCTCAATGAGATATACAGCTATTTCTCCGAAGCAACGGGGGCCATAAATTATAGCTCTACGAAGTGGCTTATCACGTGGAAATGTATAGCAGCCAATACTCTAAATGCACGTTTATAAATGTGAAAGGAAAAACCGAAGGACCCGGCGAAAAATACACATGACCACAGAAAGAACATGTGAACGCCAAATTTACAACAGGCGTCAGGGTCGGGATCGAACCTACGACCTCCTGCGTACCAGACAAGGAAGTTAACATCTCGCCACCGTGGTGCCCTAACTATCCCGTGTTGCTGCCCTGCTCGTTGCTTGAACGAAGTCACCTGTCAACGTGAGTGGAGCCCAAGCCCATGGAGATGCGCAGGAAGTGCTGGCAAGACCCCTCGGAGAAGAGCAGCGCCACCAGAGCTCTCTGCCGGTGCAGGTGGGCGCACGTGAACACGTCCAGCGCATTCAGCATCTTCTCCGTCACTTTCCCGATGCCGCTCACCTACCGGCATGAGTGGGCATTTCAGTACGCATATAACAGATTAAAGATCCCCGTATAGCCATACAGACTGTTAATGAGTACCTATGAAGAGTAGGCCATTGCGTGGCAGTGCTATGGTTAAATTTTTTGAGATTACTGGAGAATTACTTAACTGGGAAACGTCACAATCGTTGTCACTTACTGCGATAACTTAGTACGACCCTCGTGAAAGAGACTCTTGAGTGAGCTTTTCCTACACTTACACAAGTGTAATTATTTGGTCATTTGGTCATAAGTGTGTAGCATTCAATCATTCAGATCTAAATCACTACACCGATACGCTACAAAGGCGAAATAAGCATGTGCATGCATGTAAGATGGCAGACAATTCAACTGAAACAATTTTCTATTTTACCAGGTAAGGCCCACTGAGCTATATAGCTCTTTTTCAGAAGCCACAAATGATAGCTCAATGAAGCGGCTTATCACGTGTAAATTGATAGCAGCCAAATACTCTAAACGCATATTTCTAAATGTGGAGCGAAAAACCAGAGGACCCGGATAAAAATCCACGCAACTACGGGAAGAACAAACTCCAAATATACCAGCGTCAGGGTCGGCATCGAACCCACAACCTCCTGAATACCAGGCAAGATAGTTAACATCTCGCCACCGTTGCACACAGAGAAGACGCAAGCATCGTGGGCACCTTGCGTATCGGCAGCTCATCCACAAAGTTGCGGATGGCATCCCTCGTGGGCTCCAAGCGGTACTGCCCGTTGGGTTTATTCATGTCGCTGCCAACCTTCGCCAGCAGCATGTTGGGGGCGATGCCTGCAAACACAAACCCAAACATTGCCAACGCACACCCACAAGTTGATTGGGAACAATAATGTAATGGTCACGGGGAGCGGCGATGAAGTGATTGATACACTGCTCTGCAAATTCGGCGACCTGAGTTTGTTTCCCAGTCACGGCTAAGATCGGTGAATTGGTGCTCGGCCACCCCAACCTTCACCAACCCCGCACTGACCAGCGTGGTGACGTACGGTCAAACAACACCCAAACCCGACGTGTAATGGACAGGCCTTCATCCAGCAGTGGATTCACAAGACGTTTGGCCAGCGTAGAAGAGTTGGCCAAAACACCCCCTCGAGAGGTGAGGAACGTGAAACAAGGGGACGACCCAACAGCAAGTGGCACTGGTGAGATACCATAACTGGGATTTGTTTTTCTTTTGTCGTTTCAGTGACCTAGGTTGATCGATCTTTTAAACCAAACCAAGCTGTTTTATTTTACCAGCTAAGGCCCACTGAGCTACATAGCTTTTTCAGAAGCAACCTGGCCACAAACGACAGACCCTCCTGGAGTCTAACTCGAGATGCATTGACTCACCGGCGCTGGCGGTGAGACCCGTTTTCTGCTCGATGCGGAATCGCATTTCCTCGACGGCCTCCTCGACACTCAGCCCAAACACCACTGCCGTCGACGAGCGCTCAGGCGCTCCGTTACGGCTCGCGCTGGCGCCAAACCCCGACGCGGCATTTTCACTTCCACCGATCTGCGGCGGGGTGCTATCGAACAGTTCTGGTGAGTAACTCTGGAAGGATGCACCATCGTTTGCTTCATCTGTTTGTTTATCGGTTGTAAAGCCTCCAGCTGGTGATACATTTGGGTCACACGTGCTTTCCGCCGTGCCACCGTTTCCGAGCACCCTCAATGAGTTTTTGTCATGGGCGTTGTGCACCGCTGAGCTGGTCTGAGCCACCCTGCACCTGTTGCAGTCCCTCCCCTGGCACAATCCCTCGTGAGCGGCGAAGGTGCGGCGGCTTTCGGGCCAGGCTTGCCGCTCCGCCAGGTGAGCCGTGATGTCCAGGTAAGCCTCGTCCAGGCTCATTGGTAGAAAGTTTGGGTCATAATCGGCAAGGACTTCTCGGACCTGTTGGTCACCATTCAATAAGGGTTATATTTCTAATTCACATTATATGAATGAGTGTCTTGAGTTATACTTTGAATGACTACCATTTTTTATTGCTCATTTTATTAAAGTCTATTTTTTCCTATCGATTTGAATATTGTTAATAAATATTTTACACAATTTCAATTTCACAACTGTACCTATGTTCTCGATGTTCAGGCAATGTTTAAACTCTATGTAAAAAAAATACCTTTTGAATGCTTTGTGCCTTTACCTGGCTATATAATTAATTAATTGTCTTTGCTATGTAAATATCTCCTCATTCTGCATGACCTATTTGTTAACTTAGCCGTAACTACACAAAGGAGTAATACAGCTCACCTGCTTGCTCACGGCGGAGTATTTGTTGAAATTCAGTGGGCAGATGACAAGATCAGGACACAGCTTCTTGGCGATGAAGCCGGGCATGGCGGCACGCACGCCAAACCTGCGGGCGTGGTAGTTGGACGTTGACTACACGTGCGGAACACACACACACACGCACACGCACGCCGCTTGCTTACAAATCACCCACAATTCAAGCAGGTGGCCATGTTAAGCAGGTGGACTACATGGTTGAGGCACCAAAACGTGCAGGCAAAGGCCCACAGAAAATATCCATCATGCGTTCAGCCGGCATGCCGCGTAATTCCTGGTGTTTTAAAAAGATTGCAAAAAGGAAATTACAGCATCTACACAAATATATGCAAACAAGGTCAATTTTTTTTACATTTGCCGAGTGATTCGTGCACTGCGTTAAAAACCTGCCAACCTGAGTGAAATTCCTGGCTACGGTTGACATCAGTGGTGAGTGATACCTAAACCAATTCTGAACCCCCCCCCCCCCTTCACCATCCCACACCGACAAGCAGGAAGAATGGTCAAACCTCATAACATGGAGTGGGGAGACCTTCATATAGCAGTGGATTGACCTCAGGCTTTACTTATTTAACGATGTATTAGCAGGTTTCAAGGACAGAATACTGGAAAACATTAAAAGTGTCAGTGATTTATCACTTCACAATTGTATGCATTAATGCTTAACTTCTTTCGCACCGTACGTAGCCACCCGTCCTAATCGGAGGTCATGCACTGTATATATTTGCAGGAGTAAAAGAACAACTCCTACAGGAAAGAAAACCAATGCCTAAACTAAGATTACAAATCACATGACCTACAGTGCAATACGTGAGCAGGGAGAGGCACACTATCAGAGAGTCATTAATCCTTCCAGACCTTAAGGAAGACAATTACGTGCTCAAAGCACCTGTGGGGTTATAGCGAGCAGCATCTCGTTGCGAGGGGAAAGGATTTGCGAGAGACATGCAAAGCCTTTTGCGCTGTTCATAATACAGCACTGAGATACATTGGTTGTTGCGATCAGAAATGTCCAAAGACCACTTGTTCGGTGCAAACTCTGCAAATTATTGGATTTTCTGCTGCAGCTGAGTGTTGCTTATCGTGTATGTAGGCAGAGTGAGTACAATTGGTGTATCGACTTGACAAGGAGTCTCCAGAGAGTCTGTGACATAATTTACAAGCGCAGACCAGGAGGCACCTGCCATCCACTTGGGAATCCTCCACCCACTAGGCACCCTTATTGTGCATCAACGTTATTTCCACGTGATTGGCATGGTTGGCGACGTACGGTGCGAAAGAAGTTCAACATACATACCTGATTACCCTCCACAGCAGCGGTCGGGAACCTATGGCTCGCGAGCCATATATGGCTCTTCCGGTGACGGTATATGGCTCCCAGACAATTTAGAGTTGAAAAAAAAAATCAGTTTGGAACTGATTTTAAAATGCTTGCGATATTACTTAATAATACTGTGTCATTTTAAAGTAAACAGAAATTAGTTTTGAAGATAAATTTCACGGGTCACGCCTGCATGAAGCTCAACCTCACCACGTATGAACCAGACTACAAGGCCATCAGCAAAACCATGCAGCACCAGAAGTCGCATTAAAAGTAAGACATATTTAATTTATTATACGTTAAAACTACTATATGGCTTTCAATGAAATATATTTAGAAATATTTGGTTTTTATGGCTCTCCCAGTCAAAAAGGTTCCCGACCCCTGCTCCACAGTCTCATCTCGCCGATTGAAAACTCATTTCTTTAGAACTGATTTTGTGTTTAGTTTGTTGTCCTTCGCCTCCGCACCTCCGATTAGCACGGTTGGCGAGGCACGGTGCGAAAGAAGTTCAACGTACACACGTGCATGTAACCGTGAATGTCAGTGCATTCTCTCCTGGGTAAGTAAATGATTGGGGTTGTCACGACATTTTCGTGATACGATACAATAGTGGGTTGCAGCGGTGGCGAGATGTTTTCGCCATATCGGTTTCTCATAAGTTTGTAATTGTCTTTCACATTTCTATTGTATTATCTTGCCGTCATTTAGTTGGGAAAAGTTTTAAAAGCATTAATTTAATGTGTATTTATTGCTATTTGCTTTCTAACAGCATATTGTCAGGATATGGAACATAAAATAAAATGAACGATAATCCGATATATTTTGCAAAATGGACGATACAAATTTTGCGGACTTTATATCATGCATCCGTGTCATCAAATCGCAAATTACTCTTTTGGGATTACACGTGGTAATCATTACCGCGTACAGGCAGACCAATGCCCACGTGCAGGCCAGTCCTGAGTCACCTTGTCCCTCACACGGTCCCCTCGGCTACAATGCACTCCGAGACGTTTATTTACGTTACGGGCGCAATATAAATGAAAGGATCATTATTATTACTACTACATCATTTATAACAATCCGAGCAAGTGAGAGTGCGTCGAGAGCTCTCACAAGCATGCTCATGGAGCCGACGGCCATGGGCTTGTCCTTGAGCTCTGGGAAGTCCCTCATCTCCACGGCGGCATAGAACATGTCCATGTCCACGTGCACGATGGTGCGGCTGAGGTCGCGGGATTCTTCCAGACGCTCCACCAGACTGTCCATCTGATGAGTGTTGCAATATTGGGTGAAAGCGATTCGCAGCTACTTCCCCACATCTTCTGATGAGCACGGTTGGATATGTGCGGTGCGAAAGAAGTTAAACATACATGCATGCTTAGCAGTCATGTAACGATTTGCTCTCTCCCCACGATTCAATTAACTGTTCATTTAGGGAGGGGGGCTGTCACAATTCAAAAATATATCATCTTAATTTTTTGTGGTTTTTAACATCTCATTTTCATGCTCTGTCTCATGTTTGTCCTTTTCATTATACCAGTCTAAAGGTTACATCAGCACATTAGCGTAAACTTGGATTAATCATAATTGATTTTTAGATACACAATTTGATGCATGGAATGGTGGTGCAGCTATTAGCATATTTGGTCTTGAACCTCGGGGCCTGAGTTTTATTCCTTTCCATGGCTACCGTTAGTAGCGAGTCGTCTTAATCGGTCCTGGAAATTACCTTCACCAACTCAAACTGAGCAGCACGGTAAAGTATGGATTGACAAATGGACTATAAAATATATATCTTGAGCATAATAATATATTAGAACAATTGTGGATTTGTACAGACTTTGAGGAGTACAGCCTACACACAAACCTGCAGCTCAGCTTGTCGGATCTGCTGATCGGTAAGCTGACTCTTCTGCTGCAACATCTTCTCGATCTTCTGGTTCACCTGCTGCTCCTTCTTCAGCTCATTCTCATAAAAACGAGACCCCTGCAATACAATTATTAGTATGACTCAAAAAATGTGGTGTTAACTCGGTGGCAGCTGCTTGTCATGTTGTTGAACTGACATTAGGAATACATTCCAAGCTTGCCATATATTTAATGAACACCAAAGTTTATTAAGTCAGCAATTGGAGGTGGTCATCTGTAATTCAACACTTTGGAGGTAAGGTGTGGTGGATCGTGCAGATTTGTTAACCAAAATATTCAAAATTTTCTGGGCTGAAAAATGGCCATGAGATAGGACAGCAAGTGGTTTCCTAACGTGACTGTGCAGACCTTTAAGTATTATCCCGTAATTCAAGTAGCAGGATTCCCTGGGTAATCCCGTTTCCTTCCAGACCACAAAATAGTCGTTATTAAAGAGCTGGACAAACATCCTCGTGCAAATTATGAAGTTTTCCAGGATAAATACATCTCATCATTCATGGATATGTCCATTAGTCAATGACCAAATGAACTGGAAAGTGCTTAATCTTGTCAGATGTCAAAAGCTAAGTAAGTTTTGAACCTGGCTAGTGCTTCGATGGGAAACTACCATGCATAACAGTAGTTATAGGTGGTTGCAGAGTTATGTGGTGAACAGCAGATATGAGTGCAACAAACCCATTTTTGTACTATACCATTGTCCATCTACACTCCCCGCCTTTATCAATGGGCACTGACCAGCATGGTGAAGTATAGTCACATAACCCCCACGACTCGCATAGCAGAGGCCTTCATCAATAAATGGATCGATAAAATGGTCACACATTTACACGTTGATCAATCAAACACGGCCACCCCCAAAGGTCTGTTGGGCAGTGCAATTGCCCGTGATTGGACGATGCGACACACCTTGGAGATGTCAAGGATGACTTTGTTAATGCGCTCCTTATCCAGCCCCTCCATTCCGGCCTTGTTGTCGTTGAGGGCCATGCAAGACCCAAGCCCGGGGGCAGCCACGGCTCCCCTTGCTCCCTCCATCTCGTCTCCAGCCTGAAGGGGGGTCCCCCCTCACCTGAGATCAATAAATGCCTACGTGACTTTACCTAAAGAACCAAAGTATGGATTCCTGCAGTCACGAAAGCTTCAAATCAAGATTATATTTGGCTGCTATACATTTCCACATGCCGAGCCACTTTGTTGCGCTTACCATTTGTGGCCAGGTCGCTTCTGAAAAAGAGCCACATAGCTGAGTGGACCTTAAACTGGTCAAATAAAACATATAACGTGGTTTGAACCCTGGACCTCAGCGGTGATAATTGCGCGTTCGTCACAGTCATTATTAAACCTCTTGAGTGATCCAGACTCACGATCCCAGTAGTTCTGGCTCGGTTCTTGGTCGTGTTTCTGACACGACCACTGTGAACCCCCAGATAAAGATGCGGTTATATTCAAAAGGCATTCGGCAGACATACGAAAAAAATGTCTGGAGACATTTTTAATGGCATGACACTGGGATTTTTGCACACAGCGGTGTGTTTTTTCTGGAATATTTGCTGGTTTATCCAGGATGTTTCTGTTGCGCGTCGTCGCTTTAAGATGTTCTGTGTTCGTCCGGATGATCGCTGCAAAGTATGATCTGTGTTTTGATTTAGTGTGCCGATCTTAAAGGTGCATTGAAAATGTTGATACTCCGACTGATGCTCCTGCTGCTGTGGAGTGACTCATGCAGCCAGCTATGGCTGCAGGGTTTGGTAATACATGTTGTTTATGTCGTTTATTGTGAAAATTCGGTCACAGTTCATATGATCACTGTTTCATTGCTTTTATGGCTTTATTTTGGTGATTTTCTAAAAGTGTTTGGTTTGGCCATGTTTGTTTGTTGTAGTACAGTTAGACTGATGGCCTTAATCTAAGTTGTCTTGTGGTTGTTGCTGTTGTTTGACTTGCATCCCACTGGGATTTTTTCACACAGCGTTGGTGTACGGTGCTTTTTCTGCAATATTTTGCTGTCTTTTCTTGGATTTTCTGTTTGCACATAGTCACTTTAAGATTTTTTCTTGTTCATGTTTTTGTTTTTTGTTTGTTCAAGAGCCGAATGGCTCACAGGGCAAGAAATACAGTACCTAATAAATGAAACTTGCCAACCCCAGGGCACCCTGTCGCCTCACGGCTTATCCCTCAACACATTTAAACACACGGCAACCAAAGTAAACGCAAGCGCGACGCGGGTCAACCTTTTCCTTGTACCAATCTGCATTGACCGGCGTGGTGAAGTATGGTCAAACAACACCCAAGACGGTCACGGTGCGGAGAGGCATTCCATACGGCAGTAGATTGACAAAGCAATGACAGTTTATATATATATACACACACACAAAACACTGTACCAATATCCCTCGTGTAGCCTTAACAGACTGTAGGGGCAAGTGCCATTAGCGAGTAGCACCTACGAAGGCCGGCGCGGCACACGAGGGGGTGGGTGGCTAGCAACCCCTGCCCCGCGCGCCTTTGTCTTCCCCAGTGGCGATGTTGACTGACACACTCATGTGAGGGCACAATTACCGGTCTGGATAATCGTCAGCCGGTGTTGTTTGTTGGCCCGGCGTGGAGCTCTCTTCACGGCGACGTCGAATCCGCGTGAGTGCCGCCCCACCGACGCCGCTTGTCGTTTCAGTTCAAAATTTCACCGCGCGCGCCGTTTCACAGTCGGCCATCTTACGTAGGGGTAGGTGGGGAGACTGGGAGGTGGGGGGGCACCGTAGAGGGGGCGGGGCCCACCACCACCTCATTATGCGACGTCATCAACCGTCGATATTAACGAATCTCAACCGCCCTCCCGCACGGTTCCCTCTAGCAAGATGGCGGCGATGCACTGCTTGGCGCGTGTTGGTGACGTCGCCTGCACGCGGTCTATATAAGGGACGGCAGCAGTCAGGGATCATTCGCGTTGAGTGTGGTTCGTTCCAGCACGAGTCTTGTATCGTGTTTACCTCCCCCACACACCCCACACACGCACACACACATCTCCCTCTCAACCACCCTCACCCTCCCCTAACATCCGTCATTATTATTAATCGCCGTGGCTCTTGATAATATCGCCGTCACCGCAGTTGCGCAGCATCGTTTACCGGTGGGGGGGTGGTGGTGGTGGTGGTGCAGCTTGTCGCAGCTGCCATGCACGACGCGTCGGACGACGACGAGGCCGAGAGCGCGGAGAACGCGGCGGCGGAGGCGGGCGAGTTGTGTGGGCAGCTGAGCAAGTGGACCAACTACCTGCTGGGCTGGCAGGGACGATGGGTGGCGGTGCGTGGAGGGACGCTCACGTACTGCCGCTCGGCCGACGAGAGCGAGTTTGGATGCCGCGGGGCCATTTGTCTGGCCAAGGCGCTCATCACGGTGAGCGAGTGTGTTCGATGATGGGATTAGCGTTGGGTTTGGTGTGGTGTCAGTCGAGTGAGTGATTTGGGTGGGTGGGTATCTGTTGTGTGGTGATGGGTGCTTGTGTTGTGTCCGCTTGAGTGGTGGTGCTAAACGGGGTACTCGTGTTACCCGCATCATGACGGTGGTATCGATATCGAGTGAGTGGCTGGTTTCATTATCGCACACACACACACACCCCCCTTGATGTATGTAGAACTTCTTTCGCACCGTACGTAGCCAGCCGTGTTAACCGGAGGTGCGTGCGGTGGGACAGGACAACAAACGAAACACAAAAAGCTGTTCTCAATAAATGCGTTTTCAATTTCGAAAATTGATACCACAACCACTTTGCGTATGTCACCATAATCCCGCTTGGACCACCACGAACAATACGCTGATGCACATGGAACCCGCATTATACGATAGCCAACATCTCTGACACCACATACACGCGGCACTGATATCACTGCTTCACAGCTTGGCATCATAGCCGATATACTACCACAACCACCAGGCTAATGTAACAACAACTCGGCTAATATGACCCCAGGTAACCTGGCAAAGGGACTTATCCGACTCCACAATCGTACGTAAAATGTATAATTTAACATAATTTCCACAACCACTCCTGCTCCCCCCACATCAATACAAGCAGCCACTCATTAAACGACGACCTCTTCAATTGTTTCGTAATGGTAAGGTGAGCTTGCGGCTAGTAATCCTTGTTAATACGTGTGGCATCGAGTTGGTCCGGTAATTTCTGCGGTAACTCACCAGCATCTTGCACCGATCTCTCCTGCCAAGGGAAACCCAAGGTTACATTTTAAAGTGAGTCATTGTGTTGCTATCCAAGCCCAAATCTGTTGTTTGTTAAAGCTTATCACTATGGTTTCAGATTTTTTTGTGCAATCACAGGCCACATTGTTTTTAGTCACGGGCGATGATTAATGTATTACTGGGATGCATGAAGGACACTGACAATGTCCGTCGGGGTTACCTGTACCTTCACCATACAGACTACGACGAAAACCTGTACATGTAACAGTAGCATTTTCAAGATGCCCAGTGCTTTTCACTGAAGAACTCTGCTTCTGTTGGCTAAAGGGCTCAGATAAGAGCACTTTACTATCGCCCTGCCTTCCAGCCATTAAGTACAGGTATTTGTTTGTTTTAGTAAGGCGCAAGGCATGCGCACAAATGTGTGTTTTCCGTCACTGTAATTGTCTTCTAATTCGCACCACCTGAGTTACTTTGCCTCCATGTAATAAGCAGCGAGAGTGAATTTGCAGCACCCACAGTCTCATCTGCTATCGGCTTAATAACCAAAGGTCTTGCTGGGGTTGATGGTCGTTATGGAAGCCGTTATCAACTTTGGCTGGTTAAGGCTGTTAAATTTCTCTTTGGATCCATAGCTGGTAATTCTGTAAATGCGGCTGCTTATTTTCACAGGCATTACAGAACACTTTCCAGGTTTTATTGCTGCTGTTAGGTTGTAGGGCAGCTACAATTCTCTTTACAGTTCTATACAGAACTGCAAACCAACTCTGCAATTCAAAGCAATAGGGTGGAAACCGCAGCAATATAATATACACACAGGAAATGAATACAATAAAGGAGAAGAGCTTGATGAGTGAAGCTTTTATTATCTGATACAGAAACGTTTAAAAGCCAAGTCGGTGTCACTTAATGAGGGGGGTTCTTCCTGCATGACTGAGTTTTACTTTCAATATCTGATCAGCAAAGGACAGACAGGATTTCTATGACGTTAAATCTGTTTAAAACTAAAAATGTAGGACCGCAAGAGGAAATTAACTGAAATTGCAATGGAAATTGTCATTACAAGACACGACTTTTCATGCAAATAGGGCTGCAGTCCTTGGCTAACGGGGCTTTATTTCTGTTTATCATGAGGAGCCATTCAACGCGCATGTGCATAGGAGCCGTAGAATGATTTTTGAAATGTTTCATGACATATTTGAGATGTGTTGCTCATTTCTCAACCTTGTGAATGTCATTTTAATACGGTCTCTGAAATTAATAGGATTTGAGAGAAAAGAACATTTTACATGTATTATGGTGGTGAAGATGCGAGCGCACTGGGCTTAAATCCCATGCACTCGGAGTTTAATTCCAGGTTACGGCAAACATCAGCAGCGAGTGATGCCAGAATCGGTGCCACCCTCCACACCTCCACCTTTGCCAATGTACACTGACCAGCGTGGTAAAGTATGGTAAAAAAAAAAACCATGACCGGCATGGTTTGGCGAGGCTTTCATCCATCAATGGACTGAGAATGTCTTTATTTTTTAAATAGTTTTTTGTTTTATGAAAACTATTGAGTAAACTTCCAAAGCCATTATTAGCGCAGTTTATATCGGCAACTTGAAGGATATATTTCACAATACACAGTAAAGAATTATCGTGAAGAGGCAATTTTACTTGGACATTGTATGTATGCTAAGCAATAATGACTAATTGAGGTTGAAATCATTGTTTCACGTTTCTTCACAAGCACACAATGCTCAAGTCACCACAGTGTCGACACATTCAGGTAAAATAAACTTATCAACTGGGTTTGTGATATCTCATTCAATTTTATAAAAAATATTGTAATTACCATCCAAATTACACCACGTGTCATAATGATGAGTTTTAAACTGCCCAGCAGATTCCTGGAACTCAAAAGAAACAAGTTTCAGGGAATTCTGTATCATATGAGACCATGGCACGCTTTTGCAAAACCATAATTACTGTGGAGATGAATGAGAAATATGCTCATTGTACAGAAGCCTTAATTGTGTTGTTTGAGTCAAATGCATAAATCATGTGATGAGCAGTAATTAAATGCATTTCTGCCTTTGTATATAAATATTTTTTGTATACCCACACCTGGATAAAGGCCTCCCCCACCGTGTGTGAGTCCAGGGGACTCGGACACGGTGGTGGAGTTAATGACACAGTCTATTGTAGATTGAAAGGTGGCACGCAGGACTGTCTTTTTTAATGTAAGACGTGACTGGGTATCGAACTTGAGTGGCCGGTTTTCTTCGTGTAGTGGACCAACCACTGCCACCCACCCAACTGCCAACATTTCGACTCCACACCCATCTAAATGATAAGCCATTTCGCTTTTGAAAAAAGAAGCTAATAGCTCAGTGGGCTTTAGCTGGTAAGATAAAAAAAAGTTTAGTTTTGTCTATTTTAGTGTAATTTATTTTACCTTTCCTATTGTTTTTTGTAACATTCGACCCACCCCTACTGAACATCTGTGAAAAATTGCTTTATAGCTCATTGGATTCCTCCAGTATAAATACATATTCAGATTGTGAAACAATTTCCTGCTTTGCTGCAGATCACCAACGTGTATGTGTATCCCATCTTTATTTAAAAAAAAGGCAGTTTACAATTGTTGAGTTCATATTGTACAAGGCGCTGCAGTCACATGTGACTTGTGCATCTCGTTTTATGAAAAGGCCTTGTGTATTTTTAAGTCACGTGAACTTCCAGAAGAAAATTAATTTAACCCTAACCCTGGCCATGATGCCAGCATACAGCAGTCCAATCCTTCTGAGGAGCGTTGCTAGTTTGACAGTTGCCGATAATGTTTAAGTCGCCAGGAAAAATGTCCCAATGACCCCTCCAAGCAACTCTCGGCTCTCTCCACGGCATTGTGGGTGCTCCTCATTGCTGGAGCCCGATATTGTTTCAAATAACTCTCGCTTGTCCGATTATTTTAGATGTCAAACTCTTCCGAGTATCGGTTCCGTTCCTAATCAGCTATTCGGAAAAAGACAAAAAATAGTTGGGGTTGGGGGAGGGGGAAGTCTTCCTATCTTCCCACTTGTGCCACTGGTTGGGAGGTGATGACCGGACGTTGGTAACGTCATTGGCGCCATCGGCCGTGGCACCCTGGCTGTGGCTTAGAGGGTTTTCCACCTTTGGCAGACAGCCTGTCTGGGACGCCTATCATTTTTAAATGTGCCCAAGTAATCCGTTACAATTTTACTTGACTTGTTCCAGCTCTCGTTTCAAATGATAATTTGTGGATTTATGTGGAGGCGAACACTGCTTTTAAACCCGCATGCACTCTTGCGACAAATGTGTGGTGAATTCCAGATCTTGTTGGCGATGTTTTTTTTAGTAAATCCTATGGCATGTGCTACAAATCCTGAGCATTATCGCTTAATCCAACTGTTTCATTAAGGTGCAAAAGCACAGTAAATATAATGTGTCTCGGGCGCCCCATGTTTTGGCACATGACGGATAAATTTGCTAAGTTGCAGTAAAGTGAGAATACACCATTAACGTTGTGTGATTCGGTAGACTCTGTTAGCGGCCTGATAACGTCCATGTGTTAGCTGTTGGACACGTACATGTTGATGTTGCCTGCAGCTTATTGATTTTTGTTATTATAAATTTTTTTCTCTGAACCACACATCACGTCTCCTATTCTTGTTCGCAAACCAGTCATTGATCTTGTTTCTGAGACGTAAGGCTGACACGTTAATTCATTCCTCACGCTTTTGCAGATACTGTTAATCATCTTATTTTTGTGAATGCCATTTTACCCGAAGTTTGTATCGTCTTTGAATTTCATCATGCACATACATTAAACACGAGTCTATACACATGCAGTGCTGTTTACAATGTTAAAGGTGTCTTGTTAGGCCTCAATGAAAAGTCCACAAAGGCATGTATTCATCTCCTCGGTTTACTTTCAGGATTCGATGTGTTATTAAAATGTTGATTGAAGTCCGTACAGTTTTTTTTTATCTTCAGACCTCTATGTACTGTTGGCTGAAGGCTTCCCCAAGCCGTCACTATCTCTGTATCTTGGCCTCGCAAAGCACAACAATTCATCCAGTTCTTGCACACAAACTGATTTCATTGCTCCGTGTCAGCGGTGGGCACCAACTCTTGCCTGTTCCTTCCTCTGGCTGCCGTTACGTCGGCAACCTCGACCACCGGCCCATCATCCCTTCCAACGACGTGTCCTACCAAAGCCCACTTGCCTTTCTGACCCATCAATGCGATGTGTCAAACTTGTATTTGTTATTTTAATCCACCTGATGGTTTTCCTGTCTCTCGTGTGTAATTCCAAGCATGCACCTCGACGTTCTTGCTAGACTGTCGATTTAGGAGTTTAGCAAAACAGTCATTGCAATCATCTGGAACTTACGTGACGGTACGGTGACATTCGAACCACGGGTTACGAGGGGCATGACTCGGCGCCGTCGGTGGGGGCGGCGGAGCTCCCGGTGGCGCCGATGGCCCTGTGTGCCATCGAGCACGTCCCGCTGGTTGCCAAGAACCCCCGTGCCAGTGACTCACTGTGGCACATCCGTATATTTCTGGCAACGTCTAATATGTTGTTGTAAAAATAACTGGGTCTCATAAAAAGCACAATTTGAATGTCCACGGGTTTATATTCAAATCGTTTCATTGCACTTTGTAACCATGTGACTTTCAGTAATAATTTTAATTAAAGATTCACTTAATTGCATGACGGGAACTGCAATCATGGAGAATCATTTTTTGACTGTAAATGTGTTTTCATTTACCGTTAAGCGCTTTGTCAATCTAATCCCGGATGAAGACCTCCCCATGCCATGCTGGTCACTGTGGATTGGGGCTAGGATCCGTTTGGATACCACTCCTTACACTGATAGCCATGGCCGTGGATCAAACTCTGGTTGCAAGGTGAATAGAAGGGGGGGTTGGGGTGGCGGACACTTTTACTTGACGATGAATACGTGCGCTCTGGTCGTGTCTTGTCTTGCAGCCCCACGAGTTTGACGAGTGCCGCTTTGACATCTCGGTCAACGACAGCGTGTGGTATTTCCGTGCGGAAGACCCTCAGCACCGGCAAATGTGGGTGGAGGCTCTGGAACATCACAAGGTGAGGCTGCAATTCATCGACGTCTATAGATGCACAAAAGGTGGCTTAAGAGGGCCCAATAGACAGGACGCCACTAACGATTTGCCTCACGGCAGTTCGATGGATTGCCATAATTTGGAGTTTCGATTCTTGTCTTGTTTTTGTTTTCTCATTTGTATCGTTTCTGGTTAGTTCAGTCTCGTTTGGTCCATGAGACTAAATGTGACGTTGATATATTTAATATGAAAAGTAGCTAAATATATTATGAATCATTGATTCACCCCACCGGAAGACGATGCATTTCACAAATTCAGGTTTCCGATGAGATTTAAGAAACTACCGTTTGTAACGTTGTAACGGTTATTTTATTTTGACAAACACGAATGCATCCATGTATCATGGGTGTAAGAATACATGTCAATCTATGAATTGATGCATCCCTTGCCTTCTAATAGTGCTCCGAGCCAGCACTGCTCAGATCCTGGGTTCCAATCTTGAGTTTCGGTCACCCGTGTCCTCGTATGGTGGAAAATGAAAACGCGGTGCAATCGGCCACGGAGTTCATGCCACGGCACTGGGAGAGACTGCACATTTAAGCTTCTGTAGGGTTGTCTTCGCACATTTCAATAAAGCAGACCTGCCGCTCGTACACAAGGCACAATCCCGGAGGGATTGGCTGTGCAAATTGGACCACGGACAAAGCCCGCTTGCCTTCCGGAGGTTACACTTGTACACGCTCCTCCCTACCAGATGCGTGTCTCTGGGCTGCGCCAGTCTATCGGTGTCAATACGAATACATTTTTAATTCGTATACCATCTAAATGTCACCGCAATCTCAAGAAAACGTACAGAAACGGTGTTCTCATGCATGCATTTTATAGTTGGTCGCGAGCGGAGGGGAAAAATAAGGAATGTCTTAATCGTGGACTTGGGCAGGGCCCCAACGACTGCTGTGTGCAGCTGTGGAGGAGGAGCGACCTCCCATTGAAAGGAGGTTCGTTGGTGGCTTCAACAGAATTTCTTGGTCACCGTTTGCATATGCAATGCCAGTACTTTTTACTCTCATTTCAATAATGTCCATCTCAATAATACTTGCTTATCGCTAAAATCATGTTATCTTGACCGACCCCATGACGACGAAAGCTGGCTGTAAGAAAAAGAAGACTCAAAGTGCGTTATCTGTCTGGGGTAAAGATTACTCTTGCAAATAATGGTGCAATATTTGAATTGTGCAGAGCGATGATACTGCCGTAAACCCAGGGATGTGAGTCCAGCAGTGTCTACCTATAAAGGTCATGCTTGTTTTTACTGTTGACAATCGGGCTAGGGAAGTAATAGAGAGAACACCCAGATTTGATCACATTGGTCACGTGGGGGGTGGGGGGGGGTTACTCAACCAGGGATTACATTCCTAAACGATGAGTGTGCATGGAGGAAGGATAACAGGCTGACTAATATGCCTTCTCAGCCAAACTACTAATCCGTATGCATGCGGGTCACTCGATTTTACATTTCGGTTGCACATGACATTACACCATCGTGGAGCTGCTGTGTAAACAACCCTTGCTTCTGGTATAAAAACACTCCAATAAACATGACTGCAGGCAGATAAATGGCTGGATGCAAGACATAGGAATCTAAAAAAAGGTAAACAAATATCTTTACATTCACACAGCTTGACATCCTGGGGGTCAATCGATGTGTGCGAGTCAATTTCCTTAAGCGAGGTGGTTTTGGTTTGACGCCAGTTGTGAGCGCTCTATATGGCGGTTCCTGTTTCTGCCACACCCGTGAACATCCATTACGCCGACGACGACGTTTTCTCCCCCCCCCCCCCCGCCAGGCCCTCCCTCCGTACCCCCTCCCACGTGCCCGTCTGTCGGCCGGCAGGGGCGCCCCCCGTTGCATTCCGCTCAATCCGCGTGCGGTGTTGCTGGCTTTTCACGCTGTGGACGGGACGATTGTTGGATGCGCGTCACATGTTGGCTACGCGTGGCGGCGCGTGCGCAATTTCACGCTCGCCTTCGTAATTCTGATGAATGCACTGGCACGTCCATGACTTCCAACAAGTGCTTGCTTATACAGCAGGCTGGCTCTCTTGCTGGTTATTCAACCGTGTTTTACTAAGTGTACAGATTTAACCCTTCCTGCGATTCGATGAATTGTCACCGTTTAGGATCTTGTTTTGATTCAGGAATGGATTTTTTTGTGCCCAGGTTTTGCTGCCTTGTGCGTGTTGTTGGAGTTATTCTTGCCTTTTTCAGTTTTGTTTGTTCCATTAGCCAAAATGTAACATGAGCATATCATCGCATGAGTTTCAGCTATTCCATATTTAACATGCACAATTTGAAGCGTGTGTCCTTGAGTGTAGGAATACATTTTTGCATTATGCCTGGTAAATAGTGTCAAAGCACGGAGCTGGCACAGCTGAGAGCCACTCATCATTAAAGTGACATCTCAAGTGCAGCGAGTTGATAATTTTGTGCTTTCTCGTCTGTGTTGTTTCTCATTTGATCTATCTCTTTTGTACAGCCTTATAGGCTTGCCAATTGTAACATTTGTATAATATTTCATAACTTGTGAATAATAGATACTTGCACGTCATTGTATATGTGCTTACCGAGCATAATAATCAATAGTGATGATAGATGAATCGCTACAAGGCGAGTTTTACAGATTCTAAACACTTGATGTTGTTTGGTAGGGTGGTATTTTAGCTTTAAGTAATTCTTTGTTCATTTCAGTTGTTTTTCTAAAAATAAAAGTATTCGTCGAGAAAGAAAGAATTTACAGTCCGTGGCCTGCTGACCTGATTCTATTTTCAAAGAAGTTATCCAGTTAATGTCTAGTCTACACACCATTCGTAATCATCATTATCATCAGCCATGCCGATAACTATGACCCACATATCCATTGTCCAAACCAAAAGGTGGCAAAGAGTAGAATGTGCAAGCACGCAGAAGCCATTCAGTTCAGTGGCCACCACGAGGCTCCTGTAATGGATATGCTGTGAGGAGGATGTTGTAATGGAGCGTTTTTTACCCAGCACTCCACTCCTAAGTGGTCAATGACTCATTACAAACGGGGCAGGGTGGTTGTGGTTGATAATGACCACTCGGGGAAGGCATCTTGTCAAACTCTGAAACCGTTTGTGACGTGAAGCTGCTGAAAGCTTGCTTAACTGGAATCCTGTCCATTGTTTATTTAATGGCCCTTGCCAGAACATGATGTGCAAGTAGGGAGGGGGGGGGGGGTCTCGTCATCGAAAATAAATAATAATGGATTACGTAACGATTTCAAAACAAAAAAGCGCTTCTCATAAGCTCCCGACTCGTGACGCTGCATCACGAGGCGATCATTATTCACAGCTGTGCAGTGCTAGTTTACAGCCGTGGCTGACCGATGCGTAAGCGCATACACACAAGTGATAAACACGATCGCCCGGGATGCACATCGTTAAAGTTGTTCCTTTATGCAAATACATTTTTTAAAACCGCTGTATTGTTCCCGCATGCGTTTGCGTTCTCTTCGTGGCTTTCCAACTCGCACACCCCAACGACTCTGTTCACCCCCTTTCCTTCCTGGCTCATTTCCTGCCGTGAGGCTGGGCACTGCCGGTACTAAAGACGATGATTCCTCTTGTGGGACTGCATGGGAATGAGTCGAAGCAAAGGTCAGGGGGTTGGCGAGGAATCACTGGGGCCCTATCGCTGGAAATGGAAAATGTCGAGCAGAAGTCTTGGACTGCATTTTGGCTCCGAGAACGGGCACGCAGTGATAGAAACGTTTGTTTTAGATTATGTCTGCCCTAAATTTCCACGTGATAAGCCAATTAGTTGAGCTATAATTTGTGGCCAGGTCGCTTCTGAAAAATAAGCTAATGGCTTGGTGGGCTTCACCTGGTAAAATAAAAATAGGTTAGTTTTACTTGATTTTTTTGCATGATTTGTTAACCTTTCCTATACTTTGCACTGCTATCGTATTTATTTTGTTTGTTGTAACGTTCTGACCCACCCCAAATGGACATCTGTGAAAAAGATCTCTATAGCTCATCGGATTCCTCCAGTATAAATAAATATTTAGATTCTGCTACATACGCTTGTCATTTCACTGGGTGACATTAATATTAATCTTTATTTAACCATGCTAAGACCCGGCTCAAGAGAGATTGATATCTTATTTCCAAAAGGGATCCTTGCAAGATGACAGCAGCTCGTCAGCTTCACAGAACACCTCCCCAATGAATTATACACAACGCATATTATATTAAAATAGAATAAAATATTAAAACTCATTAACAAAATAAATGATTTAAAATGTTCTCTAAAATGTCCCTTAAATCTGGAGCTACCCTCTTTTCCGCCCCCACCAGCCATCGTTGCTGTCGGGATCACCACATGGTATGCATGTTGAGGGCCTTGGTAATGTAAACGGAAGACGAAAAAACGTGGAAAGACTCGCTCATGAGTTGGCTTACAGCTTGGGCCAAATTTGTTTTGAACTGCAGGAGGTTGAGTGAATTTACTTGTGGCGCATGAGATTACGTAGAGGGTGTGTGCCCAGCACACTGTACGAGTTCGCAATGACTGCTGTGTTTTGTGTTGGCTCGTAGTGTGTTGGCCTATATTTGAGTTGTCCAGTAGTGCAAGACGCATCTCCTCAATTTTTCCACAAGCCTTGAGCACTTTCCCACAAGATTAAGCGAGGGGGCTGCGCTTGTGTACATCTTTGTTTTGGCTCGTTAGACCGTGGGAGATCTGTACGATGCATTCTCGTGGGACACTGGATGTGAGTGTGTTTGCACATGAGAATGTTGCTATGTACGTGCACAAAGTGATGGTGCAGTGGTCTGTGCACTACCCTCAGTACCCAGTTACTTGACTTAGACTCCCGACCATGGCTCGTGAGTGGTATCAGAACTTGTTCCTGGTTCAACTGAGCCCTTAAATGAGCATCTGGTTCAGTGTTTAAACTTTGCCACTGCGGAGACTGGCGGTCGGGCATTGTGCTGGCTATGCCATCCCCTCGTGTGCTGTGATGGCCTTAATAGGTATACGCTAACAGCACATACACCAATGGTATACATGGCTATAGGGCGAGTCTTTGTCTTCATGGTTTACAGCTGCAGACAGAATCGGGGTATGGATCCGAGTCCAGCCTCCGGCGTCACGGCTCCATGCTGTCACTCACTTCCGGGGCGAGTGGTTTCTCAACCACATCCACCTCCTCCTTCAAGGTGGGCCCCCCAACATCACGATCCCACCATTGCTGGCAATTCCGACGTTCGTATTTCTCGACTGCAGGCAAAATGACGATGTGATGTTCGTCATCCTGACGATTGCGCCATCGGGTAACTGCACACTGCTATCGACCAAATGCTGCGACAACACCTGAGAACTTCGTGGGCCGCACGTGTTTTGTTTGATCAATTCTCAGAAGGGGCTGGGGCTGCGGGAGAAACTTGCGGAAATGGAGACCTTCCGGGACATCCTCTGCCGGCAAGTGGACACGCTCCAGAAGTACTTTGACGTCTGCGCGGACGCGGTGTCAAAGGACGAGCTGAGCCGAGACAGAGGTGACACTTGCCAGCGTGTGTCATTTTGTTGTTGTTTTTCCTTTCCCTCCTGTCAGCTCAAGAGTGGCAATGTGGTTCAATGAACTCTCCCTATCTTTGTCATTCACTAGCTTTGTTGCTTCGGTCAAACTTGCACTCTTTCCTTCAATGTCATTCTTCTACATCAGCGGCTGTGTGACAGAAACGCAGTGAGCAAAAGCCACAGACTTTACGAGTTTGTGACAGGCTGAATGAGACTGTGGCTCAAGGCAGCACTGGGCAGAATGTCTGGATATTATTTATATTATATATATATTTAAAACGTTGGTGATTTTTTTCCATGTACTTTATTCCAATTGTGCTTTCGGCATCATTTCAGCAGACGAGTCCCTTTGGATCTCTCTCACAGCAGTGCAGCCCTTCATATTTGAGAATGGCCCATGGAGGCAGAGCTACTTCGGAGATCCCTTCAAAGCGACCTCTGATCCACACAGTATAGGGCAAGACATTCCCACCTGCTATGCCGTATGAGAGGCATATACATCTCTTGACGGTTACACCGATAATAATTTCATTCTCGGATTGGGAATTTATCCAGATTGAGTTCAGAACCAAATTGAATGCCTTTGCTTTTTTGTGTGCAGTCATTGGTGACTGGCCAGGCTAAGACTAGCTATCAACTCCCTACACTTGGCAACGTGTAGGTTTTCTGCCTAGATTTGAACCCAGGCTCTTAGTGGTGCCAGTTTAGTAATTTGACATCTGAGTCACCCAGCCACCTGTGTGGATGAAATGTGTATTGTTGCTTAAACCTTGTGACGGCCTGTTTTGCGAATATGTTCCTTTTTCTGCGGCCAAGCCCATTCCAAAGTACTCTATTTTAAGGGCTCTCATACCACAGGGAGGGGGGGGTTCAACTGAAGCATCTGTGTGGCACTTGTCTTTTTTTCCGTTTTCCCTGCCATATTCGTAGGCGGCAGACGCCAAACAAGACATGACCTTACTTAGAAGAGCTACATTCAATTCCGGATAAAACGGAGATTACCTGTGACCTCCGTGTCACCCAGTTGCTGACGAGATTGGTGGAAAGTGAAATTCCCGTGAGGCTTACACAATCAAATCCCAGTATTTTCTGTAGTTGAGGCGGGGTGGGGGTCACAGCCCCTGGGAGCATGTGCCACAAAACATTGTTGTGAAAAAAAAATGATTTGATGCTATGTGATTTGTACAACAACAAGCGTTTGGCAGGGGATTTTTATTTTTTTGCACAGCCAAGTCTTGTAATACTGTGGCCAAAAGGGGAGTCGAGAAGAGACACTGTCTTGGCCAGATCACAGAGTCAGCAAATGCAAAGATTAACCAAGAAATACAACAGAGTCAGCAGATAAGAAGCATCCACCATCCAGCCTCCATGCCACGTCATTTGACCTTTTGACCGGCTATTTCACAGCGCACACTCCTGTCTGTGAGTGATGACGTGGTAGGTTGTGGGCTTTTTTGCTCCGGCACTTTTAAAGGCAAGGGTTTGTGGATCGCATGCAGATTTCGTGAAATTTTCATACCCTCTGAAATTTTAGGTGGCCAGTTGATGGTAGGAGGGCAAATGGGACTTTTAACCCATCCGTGATTTCCTTTGTGTGCGTGGCGGCTTTCTCTGGGTACTCTGGTTTCCTTTGACAAGCTAAATATTCCTGGATTCTGAATTAGTCGAACATCTCTGTGCAAATTCCATCTGAAAATACTCTTGAGTCTCAATGAGGCCTTTCTGGATAAATGTGATCTTTATAAATCCCCCTGCCGTATGGTTCTTGCTGTTGACCTCGCCATACTTCCACCCTGCTCCGTATAGCTTGAGCAATGGTGGGGAGCATAATACAGTACAACAATGGATTGTGCTGCACTCTCCTGCACACAATGTAGCCCTGCAAGCAGCCCATATCACATTTTGTATGCATCGTGGTCACCCACCCAAACACTGTCCAGGCTCCGGCCTGTTTAGCTTCCAAGATCTGACGAGACAGGGCACTTCCCTGTGTGATTTTGGTTATGGGCATTGTCATTGCTTTGAGATGTTGTTGCCGTGCATACGAATGTGTGCCGGCTTGGCCCAACTAGGTCTGGACGAGGACGATGACGGCTTCCCAACGCCCCGGCCCTGCGAGGATCACTTCTTCTCGAGCAACACCAAGGACAAACGTGAGTCTTGAACTTTGCACGTGGCCTTTGGGTTGCGCCTGCCATGTCAGAGTGCTATATTGCACTCAATTGTACGATTGTGGCCATGCAGCCCAAACTATTGACTATAGTAAACCCTCTGTAGTCTGATAATTGGTTTTTTTATCCTTTTATCTGGCAACAAAACTGACACCTTTTTTTACGAGACCACAATACCTGCAGTCATAATGCAAACAAAAAACACAACTCTGATAATGTATGCACTGTCCTTGAAGTTGATTGGACCACACCCGAGACAGCTTTCCTTAGAGCCTAGTCTCACATGGGTTGGACCAGATGACGCCTCTGTAGTCTGTTTCTGTAGTCTGTTTCTTCAATGGGGAGGGGGCATTGCAAAACTTACATTCTCTCCTGAAGCTCGTAGACTCTGACCATTAGCCATTTAATTCCTGAACATATTAACATACTCAAGAATAAAATAGCACTCGATATATTCAAACACTTTGACTGGTGAAGGTGAAGTCATCGTCACCTATGATCAGTCCACTGTTGAATGAAGGCCTCCCCAAGCCCAGAGTGAGCCAGGTTGTGTTCAAGTCGCATTAAATCAAGTTTGTTGAACAACTGGGAAATAATTGTAGAAAGGACACGAGGTTAATATTATTGCTGATGAAATATCTGTCACGCTTCCATGAATTATCTCAGAGTTGGTGACAAGTTTGGAAGTGTTTGAGGAATGAATGTAATCTTTTATGCATCAGTGGGGTCAAGAGTTTATAACATAAATCGTTGTCTTTACATGTTTCTTTTATGCGATACTCTTGATGATATTCGTGAAAATCTTTTTTTTTTTCCTCCACTGCCAGTCCTGCAGCTCTTCATGCCCAAGGACATAAGCTGGATCGACTTCAAGGGAGAAGCAATTACTTTCAAGGCCACGACAGCCGGGATCCTCGCCACGCTGTCGCACTGCATCGATCTGATGGCCAAGCGCGAGGAGAGTTGGCAGAAGCGGCTGGAACGGGTAATGGGCATCCCTTGCAGACAACTGGGAATCCCCCATGCACCACTTCTAGCTAAGTAAAGACACTTCCAGCTCGGACTCATCGTCCGATACATGCTGCCGTGCTGGAACGTCCGTTCAGCCTGAGGTCGGGGGAGCAGCTGTGCGGAGCTTCAACTTGCACAGTCATAACCTTTGCGTGTGAAATGACGTGGCAAACAGCTCTGGAAGTTTACGAGTGTTTCCCGACCCCCCCCACCTCCCCCCGGATGTTCGATTCAGTTTCGAGCATATTCAGAACCGTCACGTTTCCGACCGTCACGTACGTGTACCGACTGATTTAACCGCCCACAGCCAAGTGCAGTGTTGGCGCGCGATGCTGTTGCCGTCACTTGCTGTGGATGCTCACAATTCTAACCATTTCACGTTCAGTCATGCATTCTTAGTCTCGCGTACATTCTCGCTCGCTTCCAAAGTGCAGCGAAGCTTTTCCCCGATGTTGGAAGCCGTTCGCAATAGATTTGTATCCGGTGAAATAGAGAATGACAGATACACCATGTAAGGTGGAACTGTCATTTTCTATAGATGTTGATGCCTCGCATTTTCACATCCGCCTATAGATCAGTCCCCAGCCAGTCAGGTATGCGGCATTGTGTTGTACATTGGTCTCACGAGCTTGCTCGAGTCAAATTAAAAGAATATCTGGCACCTTGGTCTGAATTGACGTGTGTGTGTGTGTATATATATCGCGTGTAAAATAATGTTCATTATAATGCAATGAAACTTGATGCAAAATGAGCAGGAAATGGGTTGAGTGATAATCGCAGATTGCTTGGGTTACACAATCTCGTTATGCTCCTGGACCAATGCGGTAAATTCTGTTAAATCGGAACACTGCCTTTGGCCAAATCACTTGGAATGTGCCCGATTTTGTCAGATATTGCAAGCTAAGCAGAATTTTTTGCCTGGATAAGCGCTTGGATGAGTGACCACCATGCACAAACGGGGTGTCATAAGCCGCTGCGTGGCTACGTGGTGGGTAGCAGAGGGCAGTGCTGCGAAATCTATTGTGCTGTACTTCTATGCTACCACATTTATGCTCCCCACCTTCACCGCTTAATAATGATCTACATTCTGAATGCATTATTTTGTTTGCATCAGCTTACGTGCCTAATTGAGGGCTTGTTCTCATTCAATACCCGTCAATGGGGAAAATACATGTTAATTTGGATTCATATGTTGTTTTTTTCTGGCTTTATGTGAACGAAAAGACACAAATTTGCCCGTTCTCTCATTGAAACTAGTTAAAAATTTTAAAATATCACTGTCCTGGTCACAAAAGCAAAGTTTGTGGGGATTAATAGCCATTGTCTGTACTTTTGAGGCATAAGCAATTGGGAAATAACACTTACTACCCAGGAACAAAAAATAAATCATTTGTTTTTAGACAATTTGTGCTTGTGCACCACCCACAACGCAGTTGCTTAATTTGTCTACAGTGTTTTTTTTAGATGTACGCTACTTTTTTGGCATTCCTCCTGCCTTCAATCTTTCTATTTAGCGAGGTTGCCAGGTGGCTCAGAGGTCCAGAGTGCTAAGCCTTGATTCAAATCTGGGATCTCGGTGTTGCCAGCTCAGCACTTAAATGGACTGGAAGGGGAGGGGGAAGGAAGAGATGGCTCTGCGATATTCGCTTCCACGTGCTGTTCTGCAACACGGCGTGCTTTACACTGCTGTGCGAGAGATTCGAATGGATACGTTTTCTCGCGACGCGGAGGCAATAGTTACAGTCGGGATCAAATTTGGGAAAATACATGCAAAAATTTGAAAAAAAACATGCGTTGAGGTTTCTTTACACGCTACGGTGCACGTGCTTTCATTGACCGACGTTTTCTGGCTGGCTGTGTAAAAGCTGCAGTGGGCACGGAGAGCCAGGGAGAGATGAACCTCCGCTTGCTCGCTTTTATCAGCGCGTGACCTCGCGCGTTTCAACGGGGCGCGTCCAGATGTCTGGCCCCCAATGTGCAAACGAATTTTTTTCTTTTTTTTTCTTTCCCTCCCAGCTCCCCCGTCGGTCGCGCTTAGAAAAAAAGGGTTTGGCAGCGGCGCAGAACAGACTGAGAAAACTCGGATAAAAAGCGAAGATAAACCTTGAGAGCATTTCGGCGTCTGTAATAGTTTCCAAGGAAGCGCTTAAAAGTACAAGCGTTGGCCACGGGGGAGTCGGCACGTGCTTCTCAATGATGTCTTCTGCTGCACGGCACAGTTGTAGCACAGATAATGCCCAGTGAAGCCTTTGCTAAAAATTACTCCAAAAAAGAACGGTTCCCTTGTACAGATGAGCTGCCTGTTGTGTCGCGGTTAGCCCACTAAACTTTCCATCCAAAGTTCGCCGATTCCATCTCGTGGCATGTCAGTTGACACATTGGCCAAGTTCCTTAATTCCCCCACCTCTGTCTAGATAACAGTATAAATGGTCGATCGGTGGGTCACGTGCGATGGGATAAAGTGTGGGTACTCCCGTCACTGCCAAGATGTTTCGCCAGCATGGAAGAGTAGGCCAAATACCCATGAGGTGGCTCTCGAAATGCTGTCTAGAGCTCTTTTGGGTTTAGACCCTTCGCCAGCAGTGGCATGAGCAAGCAATTGCATGGCTGTGCCTTTACTAACTTTACCTGTATGGTGGGTGCATTGCGCACTGGGTCGTAGTAGAAATGGTCAACGTGTGGCTGGTGCAGAGGAAGTTGACTCTGCAATGTCACATCTTTCACCCACGCGTGAGTGTTGCAAGATGGCGCAGTCACTCACGACGCAAGTATGCCGCGGTGTCGTTGTAGGAACAAGAAAAGAGAAAAAAGGTGGAGGAGGCCTACAAGAATGCCTTGGAGGAGCTCAAGAAGAAGTCTTACATTGGGGGCCCAGACTACGAGGTGGGGTAGCTGTCACAGCAGATGGGAGAGAACATTCGATACTAATTCATATCGTGCATCGGTTAAAGCAATTATGTGCTCGTTGACGTTGGCTCGTGTGCGTGTGTTATTTTATGAACTGATGCATTGTTTAACGTGACGTGTGGCCCTGAAACGTGTGTGTGTGTGCGAGTGCATTAAAGTTGATGGATTTCGGTGCAGTTTACAGGATTGTCAATAAATATATCGTCGTCCCTTATGAAAGCATTATAATTAGACAGCAGTTTTATACACTTGGAGTCTATTCAAACTGCGGTCTAAAATGATTTCCACAAGAATGCACTTGGTAATTTAATGATGTTTATCATACCCGTTTCATCCCTCTGAACATCCACACATGCGCGCCGTGTTTTGGCGCCACCCACTGTGTCGAGATTTGAGAGGGCCCCAACTGTTTGCACACACCTGGGCCGTCTTACGAATATTTACGTTATGTTCTGTTAAAGATCACCGAAGCTTTGTTTTTGTTGGCATGCAGCTGTATCTTCCTAAAACACTCCACACATTCGTCAAATAACACGTTTGTATGCTTACGTTGAACTTATTTTGCACCCTACGTCGCCAACCGTGCTATGTACGGGTGGCTACGTCCGCGAATTGCCATGAGATTTTGTTTGTGCTTGTTCACCGTTACCAATGAAGTAACACACGCGTTACCTTTCGTGTTAAACCCCACCATTCAACCTCATAGTTCAAGCTGTTGTCGCAGTGCACGGCACAATAAGATTTTAGGATTTACATAGCATCCAATGGCGACTGCACGGGCAAAACCCTGTACAAAAATAACCGGGTATTTTTTTTAGTAAGTGGGCATGGTAATTATTTAATAATGGATGGTACCTTAATGTACACGCCCAAAAATTTCCCTTGTTTTTTTTGTGGAGTCTGGTTCACATTCAGTTTAACACGTAGGCTTTCGCGACCAATATTATTCATAATCAACGTTTTTGGGTTAGATCGCGTTATTTATTAATGTGTCGTAACCCTCCACCACCCGACACGGCCCATCGGCAAAAAAAGTGTCACGTTGACAAAGGACAAATATTTCACTGCTTTAGCCCACCGGTGTGTTGAAGCGTGAAACCACAACATTTAAAATTTGAGTACGACGTTTCGCTGGTAATTGCATCCAGCATCATCGGGCAATTCGCCAGAATGGTTCACATTGCAGCGTCATGCGTTACTGGGTAGAGGGTGCTTTTCCCCAGGCTTGGCATTCATTGGCTTTTGTGTGCGGTGCTCGTTTGACCGGCAGGAAGGGCCCAACAGCCTTATGAACGAAGAGGAGTTCTTCGATGCCGTGGAGGCTGCTCTTGACCGGCACGAGAAGATGGAAGAGCAGGTGAATTCCGGCTTCATCACACCATAGCAACTGGACATATCTTGCATCTATAACAGCACACTTTGCCATTTCACTTGCGGATGTGGGCCATTCATATGCCATGTAGGTTGTTTAACCATACTTGACCGTGCGGGTTAAAAGGCGGAGAGCATCGGAGTGGAAGCTTGGAAGTACAGTACAATAATACATTTTCGCTGCACTGCCCTCTGCTGCCGACTATGTTGACAAAGCTCGCCATGACCCAGATACTTTGAGGTGTTATTATGACTGCTAATATACAATTGCTGTTGCTTTTGATCATGCAGTTAGTTGTTAATGCTGATCTAAACACTTTTGGTGTGGCTTTTTTTGTACCTTCACCTTATGTATTCACGAATGCAAGGATGACGGAAGGATCGTCGGCTCAAAGTCCCACCGTGTTGATAAACGGTGTGCGGGGTTCCCCCTTGTGCGCGTCGCGTTTTGCAGCAGCTGGAGCGAATGCGGGGAGTCACGCTGTGTCCTGACCTGGTGCCCGACACGCTCAGCATCCGCGTGCACCGCTTCTCCCAGCAGGTAGCACCCAGCCCCCCCTGCCCCCCTCCCTGCCCCACCCTGCCCCCCTCCCTGCCCTGCCCCACCTCCCACCCCGCGCCCCATGCCACCCGCCCCACCCCGCGCAAACCCCTCCCACCGCTCCACCACCAAGCTCCACCCGCCCCACCGCACCCCACCCCGCGCCCCCCCCCCGACCCCACCCCGCGCCCCCCCCCCCGACCCCACCCCGCGCCCCCCCCCCGACCCCACCCTGCGCCCCCCGACCGCGCCCCACCCCACCGCGCCCCACCGCCTCACCCCGCCCCACCCCGCCACATCCCCAAATTTCACACATACAGTCACAACCAGCTACGCATACCACCACCACCATGTATGTTCTTGACTGGCTTGTTAAGAGCTGGTACGAGTAGTCGATGCTTTGACCCAAAAATTACAATGGGCTACTTTGCATGTGATCGATGACTCGGGTGCCTTTTTTAAAAATGGCGGCCACCCCCCACATCCTTTCTCCTGAAGGCAGGAAACCCCCCCCCCCTCACAACCCACACTCAACCCGACATGGCCGATGATGCCGATTACCACACCCATCACCTCCCGTCCAGTAAAACTCGGGGTAAACTAAAGTGATATGTTTTGTTCCCACTGTTTTTGTATTATCCGATTTTAATTAAGTAATCAAGCCGATCATGGGTGGAGTAATTGATTACTTAACCGGCTGTCCTAGCTCTGTTGCGACCTTTGTTTTGTTAAAATGATGCCGTTTTTAGTAACGGACCACGTGTGTTCAACTCGCGGTTGCTTTTTCACTTCCCCCTTAGCAGCTGTCTTCTGTTAGATCTCCATTTACTGGAAGTGCTCATTAAAAGTGGCACTCTGCAGCGCTGTTTGTTGTGTGCCGTCATCTTGGAGAAGTGGACTGCGTGAAGTGTGACTCGCTTGAAGCTCGCAACACCATTTAGACTTTGCTGGGGAACTAAAGTTGAAATGAAACAGTGCAACTTTGTGTTCCATGATGTACCACTTTTAACAAAGCGGGCTATGTTGCTTCTGTTTTGCAAATAGCACGGTTGGCTACTTGCGGTGCGAAATAAGTTCAACATACATGCAACGATGTTGCTTCCGTTTTGCAAATGGTTGCACACTCCTTCTTGTGTATGGCATTGTATACAAACTGATAAGTCCGTATCCAGGGCTGATAACCAGCCTCTGCGGTGGGCTGATAAATGAATGCCTCTGCTGGATTTATGAGCGGCATGATAATTCACAATGTGGTTCATGGTTCGGTCAGGATTTCTACAGTCATGTCACCGGGCTTCCTCTGATTTTCCACTTGAATAGTTTGGGTAGGGGGGGGTGGGTGTTGGTAGGTGTGCATCTGACATGGGTGCTACGGGTTATTCGGAGGTGTTGGTAGGCGACAGCGAGTGCCATTGCTTTTGAGGCAGATCTAATCCAGGGGGTGCAATGGTTGGGTCAGTGGATGAGATATTTATTGTCTCCCTCCCATTGTTCTTGAGTGTCATAACCTTGAAACGCACAACACCTTGGCCATATTCCTGAAGGGTTTGTGCAGTAAGCCTTAAGTCGGGGGTCTTGGGTTTTCTGTGGCATTTATTAAAGGGTAAGTTGGGTTTGCTCACTAATACATTTATAAACGCATTGAAGTCCATGTGTAATAAAGTATAGACAAATGCACCGCTATTCAGTGTCCACTTAACAGGTAGCACAATGCTGCTCCAGGCAACTAGTTAACTGGTATACATGGACTGAAAGAGCGACACGGAACTGACAAAACCATGCACGCCCTCTGGCGACACAGCCCAAGCGAGCCCCTGCGTTTACTCTTTGTTGAGCGTCCCGCCTAGCACGGGTCAAATGGCATTGATAGCATGTTGCCTCCTGTGCCCTCATGCCCCCCGCAGGTGGAGGAGTCCATCAAGAACCACATGCAATACTCGCTGCAGGACGTCGGCGGCGATGCCAACTGGCAACTCCTCGTGGAGGAGGGCGACATGAAGGTGACCGCCGCTTCTCTCACCATCGCTGTCCTACACCGGGTCCCGTCAGACGGTTGAATTTTCGTGGGGGGCGTGATTGGGGGGGCATTGCCTGAAATCAAACGTCGTCTGTCGTGCTCCCCAAGGTTTACCGACGGGAGCTGGAGGAGAACGGGATTGTGCTGGACCCGCTGAAGGCCACGCACGCCGTGCGGGGCGTCACGGGCCGCGAAATCTGCCACTACTTCTGGAAAGTGGACCACCGCACTGAATGGGAGAGTGAGTGGACGCACCGCAGCACCCTTTAGTCAATCCGCTGCTGGATGAGGGCTCTCCCCATGCACCGCCCACCATGCCTGTCGTGGGGGTCACTTGACCGTGCTTCACGCTGAGCACCGAGGGTTGGTGAACGAGGGGAGCATCGATGTGGGAGCGTTATGTTCGGTACTATAATGGATTTTTGCAACGCTGCTGTCTGCTGCCTGTCATGTAGTGCTGCAGCAGCCGAAAGAAACCTGTCTATGGTGGTTACCCATCCAAGGACTATCCAGGCACAGCCTTGCTTAGCTTTTGAAATCTGATTATATTGGCCACACAATCCGAGTGATTTGGTAATAGAACATAGAGGTGTGTGAGTACCTTGTAGAAAATTGTGGGGTTTTTATCGCGTTTCAAAGATTTTATTCACAGAACGGTCACAAAGTATTTCTGTAGAATCTGCTTGCCGTGACCCTGCATCACGTCGCTGCTGGGTGTGGCGTTGTGCGTGTCGCCTTGTCTTGCAGGCACGGTGGAGATGGTGCGTCTGGTAGAAACTCTGTCGGAGAACGAAGTCATCGTTTACCAGACGCACAAGGTACAGCAGGCCGGGGGTGTGAAGAGTTCCATCGGTGATCCCTGTGGAGTGTTGGGAGGTTGATTGTTGATCTCTTTAAAAAAACTAGCAGCGCGATTGCCCTCGCTGCGCACGCCATTGCAGTGCTGGGTGATGGCCGTTGTTCAATTTTAATGCGCCGTTTTATTGAGGCACTGTTGTCTTGGTGTGGCCTGGGAATCTTTTTGTTGTTGTTGTTTTTCTGCCTTGCCTAAGCTTGCATTTAATGTAAAAAAAAACAGACCTATTTTTCGATAATCTTTCTCCTACTGGACATCCGTGAAAAAGAGCTCCATCGCTCATCGGATTCCTCCCAGTCTAAATAAAGATGCCAATTCTGATCATTGCCCGATTTTTAGACGGTGTGGCCGGCCTCTCAGCGCGACATCCTGTACGTGTCGAGTTGGAAGAAGGTCCGAGCCACCAGTGAGAACGACCCCGACACGTGGGTGGTGTGCAACTTCTCAGTGGACCATGCTGATGTGCCGGTACGGGTCGCTCTCCTTCATCATCATCATCCTCTTCATCCTCCCTCATCATCATCATCATCCTCTTCATCCTCCTCTTAATCCTCCTTAAGCCTTTCTCATCCCTCCTCCCTCATCCTCCCTCCATTTTAAAATAAATAAGCAGTCAAATATGCAGTTTTAAGTCTAGATTGAAAACGAATTTCCTTAGAACTGCTTGTTGTTTTTAGTTTGTCCTTCTGCCCCCCCGCCACCCTACAATGAACAATGTTGGCTACGTACGGTATGAAAGAAGTTCTACATACATACAATACGTCTCCTTCGTATATAAGGTCTTGCACAACCCATCAGCCTCGCAGCCTTCTCAGAGTCGATCATTTCAACAGCATTGATTTAAGACGAGCAAACTGTGGACCGTTTTCATCATAGTGTTTCCATCAGGAGATTCAGGCGCTTGCTTGAATAATTTCTGTTGAAATGCCGATCTTACGAAGAATCAAAACACGCAACTTTATTTGTCCACAATTTCTCCTTTTGTGGATTAATTAAGCATGTAACGATGCATCCTTAATTAAATGTGATTATTGCGCTCACGATACGTGCACCGTGTGTAGAGTGTATTGCTATTTATACAAATGATGTGCAAAGTGCAATGCTAATCCATAATACAGGTTTTTTTTGGGTTAGATCGCGTAAATATAAATGTGTCGTTACACCCGCCACCACCCGACACTGCCAACTAGTAAGGTTTGTCACGATAAACAGAACATGCCAATTTGTTACTAGTACAGCGCACTGGTGTGTTGGAGAGTAAATCTACAACATTAACAATCTGAGTACGATGTTTCTCCATACTCAGATTGTATTATGGATGATATTGGTCGCGAAATCCTACGTGTTATACTGCTATGCTTATGTTAGGTGGATTAATGTCAGAAAGGACTTAAAAGAGACCAACGTACATCGATGACGGAGCAAGGAAGGGGGGGGAAGACGTTCATGCTGTCTCATCGTTACCACCGTGTGAAGACCGACGATAAAGAAAAGAGATTCGCTAATGTTACATTTAGGCTCGCGAGCGAAACGTGACATATCAGACAGAAGACGACAACACGAACAAGGTGGTAAAACTGAGATGCGGGGAGGATTTGCGGCAATGTGAATTGTTACAACACTGGAAGCTGCCTTTAATCCCCTGTGCGCACTTTCCACTCCGGTAGCCAAGGCTTGCTATTATAGATGCCTCCCTGTCATCTCACAATGAGTTGGGAGGTCATTCATTCTCCTCTGCCGCTCTTCTAATTGTGGAACTCCCATCCAGAAATATATTCTGTTGGCTCCCTGCCCCCTGCTCGAGTCTAGGCTCAATAGCGTCCTTGTTTTTTTCTCTGACTACGACTGTCCTCTCCCTCTCTCTCTCCCTCTCTCTTGACAACATATTTATGCCTACTATTTTCTGTACAGCTCATTTAGGCAGCATGCATATCCAATATATATGTGTAGGATGAACAGCAACACGAGAAGTAAGTGTGTTCGGGGGAAAAAAGGAAGGAACTGGAAAGCGAGGGAAGACCTAACAGAAAATCGCTTGACGACGACATCAAAAGATATTGGTGCCAGCAAGATGTGGCACTACTTGAGCATATTGGCACAAGACAGAGGAAAGTGCGAAATAAATTATTAAATGTGCAGTGGACACCTGCAGGCTATCTGCGCATGGATCGTGATGATGCTTTTTGTGTTTTAGTTTGTTATCCTTCCCCCGCACCTCCGATTCGTGCGGTTGGCTACGTACGGTGCGAAATAAGTTATACATACATATCCAATTGCTGTTGTATAGAACGCGTGAACCCGCATTGCGAGGAAAATTCGCGTGTGGCTTGTGAATTTGCGTGAGCGAAGGGGTGTGTGCCGTTGCTTTGCATCACTGTGGGTGCAGGTTACGAATCGCTACGTGCGAGCCAAGATAAACGTGGCGCTCATTTGCCAAACACTAGTGAGCCCCCCGGACGGCAACCAGAACATCCAGCGGGACAACTTGCTGTGCCGGATCACGTATGTGGCAAACGGTGAGATTTCAGCCCGTGCACATTGCTTCACGTTTAGTTGATAGGAGGCCAACGGTATGTAGGAATGATACAAATATATATACACAGCCCTTTGCCAAAACCTCCGCTTGCTGTGTCGATTATGGGTGGGTTGGTTGCACGGGCTTCTCAGAATCAGAATATTTATACTGGAGGAATCCGATGAGCTATAAAGCTCTTCTTCACAGATGTCCAGTCGGGACGGGTAAGAACGTTGCAACAACAAACAGCGCAAAAACACGATAGCAGTACAAAGTATAGGAAAGGTAAATCACCAAAAACACAAACAAATGAAACTTAACCATCCCCATCCTACCAGACGAAACCCACACTGAGATATGAACTTATTTTTCGAAAGCGACCTGGCCACATATGATAGCTAAACAAAGTGGCTTATTATTTTGACATTTATAGCAGTAAAATAATCTATATAGTCTAAACACATGCTTCTTCGGCAGTGCCACACCCTAAGACTCCGGAATCTCCTCCTCCCCCCCCACTTCACCATTCTCCTCCATCTGGGGGGAGGGATGCCCAAGTTACAGTTCAGCTTACACTCGCCACTGATATAAATCATGGCTTGGAATTAAAGCAATGTCACCGGCTTCCCAGGGCAGTGGAGAAACCACTGCTCTTGCCACTCAACATTAGGGCGCTGCGGTGGCGAGATGTTCACTACCTCACCTGGTATGCAGGAGGTCGTGGGTTCGATCACGACCATAACGCCTCCTGTATAGTTGGAGTTTGCATGTTCTCCCCGTGGTCGCGTGGATTTTTCTTCGGTCCTCCGGCTTTTGCTTCCACATTTCGACACGCGCTTTTCGTGTGTTTGGCTGCCATAAATTTCCACGCGATAAGCCACTTCGGTATTGAGCAATCGTTTGTGTCCACGTCGCTTCTGAAAAAGAGCCACACCTACTCAGTGGGCCTGACCTGGTAGAATAAAAAATATTTTCATTGTTTATTTCAGTCTCCGCGGCGAAGGCCGTCGTTAAGAGGCGATGCGGAAATGTGACGCGACTATGCGGTTGGTTAATCGTGTGCCCTCCCGTTGGCAGTGAATCCTGGCGGGTGGGCGCCGGCCTCGGTCCTCCGCGCGGTCGCCAAGCGGGAGTACCCCAAGTTCCTCAAGCGCTTCACGCAGTACGTCAAGGAGCGTACGGCCAACAAGCCGATCCTCTTCTGAAGCGGCGCTCGCCGGGCCCTCGACCAGCGCGACCGGCGCTTCTCCGTCTGGCACCCGCGGAATCGACGACGACGACGCTTGCGGTGCCGGTGTGGTGTCCCCCGTGGCGCGCGGCCATGTGGTCCCCCATACTCGCATCTGCTCGGCCTAAACACATGGCCTCAACCGAGCTGGTCACCCAGACAGGGATCATCCAGAACCTTTCGGGCATTGCCAACAGATGTGCGCACAGCACTGCTAACTTGCACCGCTTTTTAAACAACAAAAAAACTTTTAAGAGTCATTTTGGAGATCAGAGCAACTGGGAATAAGGTTCACGGTATTTTTTTTTTTTATATATACGAGTTGTTTACATCCGAACATGCGCTTGTTTTTCTGCATTGGTTGTAAAAGGCGTCCAACCTTTCCGCGGCTGGGCTGTCGGCCCGAGTGAAAACCACTGCCTTAATTTCAACGCGCGTATCTGGCATTCTCTTGGTAGCATGTGCAGGGAGAGTGGGGGGGGCGAGGGGTGGCCTTTGTTCGTCACCGCGTCCCTTCCGTATGACCTCTGCACGTGACCACCCTCGATGTGATTATTCATAGTTTCTTCCTGTTTAGTGGCGTTAAGTGTGAATTATGCCATTCTTCTGCGCTCCCTGCACAGAATGAGGCGACAGTGCTGGCCCCTTGCTATTATTTCCATAAGCTGCTGAGTTGATATGAAGGTTGATCTGCGTAGTTTGCCTTTTATTAACAATGACAGCTACGGTCACGTGGAGATACAGTACAGCATTGTACTGTGCCAAGAAGGTGATATTTAATCCTTTGGTAAGTGCATCTTTTTTACGTTAAAAGTAGAAATGTGTTTTCAGCACAACGATAATTAATGAACACTGTCCTTGTGTACTACAAGGGTCCATGCCCTCACTGTTTAAAAGTTGTGTTCCTTTCCACTTTTTCCACTTTGTGAAGATCCGGCCCAAATTCCGCAACCTTCCTGTGGCCTCCAATCATCTTGTACAGACTCTTAATGCTTTAGCCAAATGCTCTCCATCCGATTGTTTGTGTCTTATTTATGTATTTGTTTTGTTGCAGATATCCCTGTCCCATACATGTGTATATGCCGTGTGGCATGTCTTTATTCCCGATTTAGTAATTTAAGCTTTGAGCATGAAGTTCAAAACGCTTATTTCTGATTTAATGGTCCCAATGTTGTGATACTCTTTATACAAATCTGTAAACATCATCACATCCATGGGCAGATGGCCCGTAGGTGCCCACTGCATATTTCGTCACCTGTTTCCACTTTCTTCTGTCTTGTGCCAATATGCTCAAGTAGTGCCACATCTTTCTCGCACCAATCTCATATGTTGCTGTCAAGGCATTCTCTGTTCGGTCTTTCTCTTTTTCCGATTCCTTCCATTTTTCCCCCGAACAACAACAACACACTTTTCATTTTTTCTGTCGCTGTCCATCCTACATATGTGTCCATCTCATGCGTAAACAATTCGTAGCAAAATGGTCCCAATTTTTGTGTTGGACTCTTTATATGAATCCGTAAACAGAGCTGTAGCTCAAGAGGGGAGGGTGGTGGTGGTGGGGAGCTGGTCTGCTCCCACACCGTGAGTGCTGCCTTTGCTGCAGCCCAGAGTGGTTTCGTGCTCCAATGAAGACCCGACGATCTGTCTGTTCCCCGAGGCGTTCCGTGCGCAAGGCGTGCGAGACCGGGGGTTGTGACGACCTGGCGCACATTTGGGCGCCGAGTGAGCGAGCGAGTGAGCGCTCGTGCTCGGAAAGTAATCGGTTGCCGTCAAAGCGCTGCTGCCACGGGAGTGGAAACATCGCCCATTCACGGCAACACCCTCCGCTGTCCGTTACACAATCGGGAGGAGGTGGATCAGAAGTCTGAGTGCCGAGTTGGCATCGCCGAGATCCTGGGTTTGAATGTGCGTTTCGGTCACCTGTGATTAGACTTGCTGCTTCCCAAGGCTGGCGAGTCAAAGGTCCGCGCCAATGATGAATTTTTCTAAGTTCCCACTCTGCGAATTAAACAGTTTGTCACGTGACAAATGTGACACTGCAGCAGTGGGGTGAATCGAGAGTGCTGCCCCCACGAGTGTGGACAAGAGGTCACGTGAATGGATCTCAAAAGTAGATCTGATATCTGCATCTCTGGACTATTTCCGAAGCTGGAGAGTTGCACAGCTCTGCGAGGGGTTCTGAATGAAATATTTAATCTCGTGAAATTGTGGAAAACTACAACAGCAAAACATTATTTTGTCCATGATGTGTTTTTAACGGATTTCCGTGACCCCCTGCAGGCACCAGACGTGCTACATTCACCACCGTGTTAAACCGTAATCCATTCTTGAATCGTGGTCCCAAATCGTAACATTATGAAATAACTAGTGGGGTGAATTGATGCATGCCTCATTGAAAGTTCTTGGGCTCGGAGAGCCAACAAGCCGGATGACGCGAGACTTACCACAGTTTGGATCGAGACACTAAAATGTAACATTGAGGCGCAGGGGTTTCTGGGACTGATAAAAGTCGAAGCCTCCGCAGAGCGCTTCTCGTCGCGATTGACCAATCACAGGCACCCGAAACGCCAATTCGCAAACCCCTCCCGTTGGCCGAGCAGCGCAGTGCCGCCCTGTTTGAACCCCTGGCGTGAAGTCGCAGTGACTGCACGGAAGCCGTCGGCTTCACAAGTCCGGTGTCCCTCGGGTCTGAAGGAACGGGTCAGAATGTGCTGATCCCAAAGAGTTTACTGCAGCGTGGGATTTTAGCTTTGGAAATGCAGGGCAAATGCAATGATGGAGATTGATTGAAAGTCTGTCGACCGTAGTTTGTGTGTGTGTGTATAGTTGTGATTGTAAATGATGACAAATCAACATCTGGTGGTTAACTGGATAATCGTACTTTGTGTGTGTGCGCGCGTGTGACTAAATGACACATCAATGTATGGCGATTCGTTGGTTAAATAAACACGCCAGATGATTTAATGATTAATTATCAAAATGCCCATGCTTACATTTATTTTCACATGTACGTTTTGAGTCGATGGCAAGTTGCATACAATTATCGGATCACAATGCAGGCCTGATTTGTTAATCTGTGCCGCATGTTTATTATTGTGACAACTTAAAACATGTTTTATTTAATAAAAAAAAGTGTTATTCTCCCTTTGCACAGGCCTGCGATGTACCGTATGCCAAGTGAAAGTTACTGTTGGAAGGTCTTAAATTACCACGTCCTTATGAACGTTTCAACTGAACTCAATCGGAATGGTCAGTGCTGTTTAATTTAGCTAGTGTGTTTTAATTTTCCTCTTTTAGTAAAAAAAAAATGGTGTTTGTTTTATAATGTGACTTATCATACTCATTACTGGGTTTCCAATTTGCATTGTTGGTCAAGTACGATCATCTATTTATACGAGTAAAAGTTAAAATGAACTTTAATTGATGAACAGTAATTCTACCCCCTGAAAATAATTATCTAATTAAAACCAAGGCAATTCCACCACCTTTATCATTTGATACATATTTTGAGAATGTGGCGAATGACAAGAACAAACGTCTTTATTCCTAATAAACGGAATTGAAAGTACTGAAGGTCATCGATTATAGTTTGTTATTTTTCCTCCCATGGACAGCGGGTCATCGTTTCCATGTTCCTGTTGAGGTGGATTTACGTGAAAATGTTGTATTGAAATAAATATATTCAAACGCCGTGTACGTCGCACAAAATCGCGTTGTGGTTTTGTATTGCGTCGAATGCATCGAAGATGACGCCGCTCTCCTCCGCCACTGCAATTGATGCCGTGCTTGTTTGTTACATGCCAACTCCTTTTAAAAATAAGTACTGTAAATATACTGCACTCTGTATGACCATACTCTTTGGTTTTTTTCGGTAAAGTCACGTAGGTAGAAAATAATAATATACGTTCTACCTACGTGACTTTACCGATTCCTGCAGTCACGAAAGCTTCAAATCTGTATGGCCAGTTAATCTCAAGGAGCATAAACCATCACGCGAACTCCGGTCATCCTTGCAGCAGCTTTTGGCTCGCCATGGAACAAAGACGGTCACCGCGTCGCACAGCTTCAATGCGCTTCTCCCACCTTCTGGAACGCTCTTCCGGTATTAGGACACCACTGGTGCTATGCACTTTTCAATCTAGGTTGTAAACTTATTTAGAACTGCTTTTTGTGTTGATTTTGGCCTTCCCCCTCTTAACTCCATGTTTTCTACTTTCTCACCGAGGCAATCGCCATCTTTTCTCTCCACATGTACAAACCATCTGTAGACGAGATCCTCCAGCATGGGTATCACTGCTCTTCATGGTCTCGTGTCTGATGTCTCTTCCTGATACCGTCTGCACCTCGGCATTCCCATCTCTGTGGAGTTCAGAATTTGCTCTTCCATCCGTCTTGTTCTCCAGCATTCTGCTCCATCGGTCACAAGCGGTCAGATAGGCACCTGTCGCACCACGCTGCTGACATCTCTCCACCTTGATTGATACATTCTGTATTCTTGCCTTGAAATGCTTAGCCATTCCACCAACAATTATGACGTGTTCATCGCGATCAATTGTGTTCAGGATATGCCCCATTTTTCAAATAAATATTCCCAGGTCAAAGATTAGTTTTGCGGATGCAGCTTTGTAATTCAGAAATACATTGAAAACAGTAATTGCTAATTTTATAATTGTATATTCTGATATCCATGTGTGGCGTGCTCTCTGGTGGCACCTCATTGTTCACGTGTTCCCCTCTAGACCAGCTCTCATGTACTGGTACCCACAATAGTTTCATGAATATATGATCTCACTTTAGCCACGTTTAATCCACAGCCATCTGCAAGTGCCAGCTCACAGCTGGAGACAAAGCCCGTCTTTGTACGAGATTGCCGTCCGTATTTCCTCAAGAACGACATTACATTGAAATTAATGTTGAAAAAACACGAGCATAGCCATCATTGAATCGTTCATTATCATTTGACTGGGCGCTTACTTGGTGTCAAGCTGTGCAGGGCAGATGTCTCGCTCCTGATGGCCACGTTTCTCCACTCCACTCTTGACTTCAGGACCTTTGAGCTCTCAACTGATTCGTCCCGGCACACACGTCTCCCAGTTAGCCAAGCACTCTCCCAGGAATACCAGCTTTCTCCCAGTGATCCAGCACTTTCTCCTCGTGAATCAGCACTTTTTTCCAGTGATCAAAGCACTCTCTCCCAGTGATCCAAACACTTTCCCAGAGAACTCGACTCTCCCAGTCATCCAAGCACTCTGTCCCAGGAATCCCAGATTTATCCCACGGATCAAAGCACTCTCTCCCAGTGATCAAAGCACTCTCTCCCAGTGATCAAAGCACTCTCTCCCAGTGATCCAAACACTCTCCCAGAGAACTCGACTCTCCCAGTCATCCAAGCACTCTCTCCCAGGAATCCCAGATTTATCCCACGGATCAAAGCACTCTCTCCCAGTGATCAAAGCACTCTCTCCCAGTGATCCAAACACTCTCCCAGAGAACTCGACTCTCCCAGTCATCCAAGCACTCTCTCCCAGGAATCCCAGATTTATCCCACGGATCAAAGCACACTCTCTCCCAGAGAGCTCGGCTCCCTCCCAGTGATTCCAGCATTCTCTTACAGAGAGGTCGGCTTTCAGAGGCTTCCAAGCCGCTCGTATTACGAATAATTGTTTCCCAGTATTGTTTACAAGGGGTTATTTTCCACTTGTAATCTGTGAAACCTAATAATCTTCCAGCACCCTCTCCCAGCAATCCGATATCTCTTGAAATGTGGAATTATCATTGCAAATGGTGAACGTTCGATTATCTGGGTTGTGGATTATCCATCCTTGCCCATATGTCTGAACACATGTCCGCAAGAACACAGATTACTTTAAGAAACAATAGAAAGAGCTGATGCATTCTACATCCCCACTCACATTCTACAGATGGACGCATTAAACAGGTGACATATCCTACAATGTGTTTTTTATTGTCCATGTTTTTTTGTTTTATTCATGCCACCCCTCTATCAAATAATTCAGTCTACTATAAGACTTATAGCTGGGATGATGGGTCGATTCTTCGACTGAACATTATAACGCACCACTTTATTTTTTTGTCGATAACTCGCACCCCTCGAACACCACATTTTGCCTCGTGAAGGCTGGAAACCCACCATTAGCCACGCCCAGCGTGACCATAGCTGATGTTGCTGATGACGTCAACATACCCCCCTCTCATGACCTCCCATCCAAGGGCACACTTAGGGATGGAAGTTTTATATATATATTTTTTCTCCCTGCATTCTGTAGAGTAATCAAACACACCAATACTGCAATGGTATTGGCCAGCTCTAATTCGTCTCTCTGTATGGAGGGATTTGTCTGTCTTCTCCACAGGGGCGACTAGAGAGCAGTGAAGGGTCCGAGTCACCAGGATCTAAACCACGTGAACACTGCCGTTACCAGAAGCACAAGTGCCCCCTCCAGACTTGAATGCATCCCCAGGGGAGTGATTTCCTCCCCACCCACCACACTCCAACGTCTCTCCTGCTGAAGGGTCATCTCCCCTTCCTGTAACTCGCAAGCTTCCATTTAATCAAACAACTCTGTCATCACGAGACCTCCGTTGGCAGTATCAAAATGTAAGAATCGGTTTCACCCTTTCTGGCAATAAAACAGTTGTGTTAAGATGTTAAAACACCAAACAGAAACCTTTTGCAATGAATCATGTCTGCATTAACCACACGTACTTGTGGTGAACATGCAAACAAAAACATGCTCTGGTGGTATGTAATGCATTGTCTTTGAAACTGATTGGTCCACACCAGAGACCGCTTTCTTTAGAGCCTCGTCTCAAACAGTGTTAGACCAGAGGACGCCAAAAAGTGAACAGCACAAAGACAAAGCCACTATCAGGGTTACATCATGAGACCTCCCTTGCAAGTATCAAAATATAAAAATACGTTTTACCCTTTCTGGCAATAAAACAGGTGCATGTACTACGAGAGCATGTTTTTGTTTGCATGTTCACCACAAGTAAATGCGGTTAATGCAGTACATGATTCCTTGCAAAAGGTTTCTGTTTGGTGTTTTAACATCTTAACACAACTGTTTTATTGCCAGAAAGGGTAAAACCTATTCTTATAAACGTTGTGTCATATCTGTAGGGGGGCGGGGGTGGTGTACAAAATACCTAAAAAATGAGTCCTATCAAGTGATGGGCGTCGCATTCCATTCCTCATGCACGCGGGGGATGAGAGCCAGAGAATAATGCACGATATACACAAGCAGGTCGCGTCGTTACTCACTCGATTTGGCGTTTAACATGTGCCATGTTTTTATATATTCATACTAAACGTTTGTTGTTGTTGTAAGACGCGCCTCTTTTAAATAAGGCCATGCTAATGGGGTTGCTGAAATGTCAAGTGGCAGTCTCTGATCAAAGGTGGCTCTAACATCTGTCGGTGGCTCAGAGCCAGGGGTGGAATCCACACATTACCCTGGCAGCAGTCAGCAGTGTGTTCTCGTTGACCGCCAAAACAAAAGTGGTTGTTATTTTATTGACCGCAGGGGACCATGGGCAGAGTTGACCCCCCCAGATTAGGATTCCAGACTGGTTATAAATCAAACATGGAATTATCAGCACCCATGATCTATCCACTCCTGCTGGATGAAGGCCTCCACGAGCCATCGCCACCCAGTGGCTGCACACTCGCGCACAACGCGCCAACTTGTCGATGGGAGCGCCAGAGAAGCAGAGGTCGCAACCAGGTACCCGATACCCGTACCCTACCCGATACCCGTCTACCCGTACCCGGCCGGGTACGGGTAGCCGTTTGCGACCCTGGTGCGGCCGGGTACGGGTACGGGTAGACCGTGAGTCACTGGTGAGTAACTGTTTATCACTCATTTCCCAACGTCTTGTCTCTTCTCACAATTCAAGTTCCTAGAATCAACCCACCCGCGCCTGCAACATGGCTTCATCCCAGAGGTCGCAATCAGGTACCCGATACCCTACCCGTACCCGACCGGGTACGGGTAGGGTACGGGTACGGCCGGGTACGGGTACCCGTTTGCGACCCTGGTGCGGCCGGGTACGGGTAGGGAATCAAAACCCGTTTGCGACCTCTGCAGAGAAGAGAGGGAACGCGTCGGAGAGGACGTCCACTCAGGAGGAGATGGGGAGGGGGGGCATGGGGGAACCAAGTCAGTAGCTCGTGGATCATAGATTGTGAGAGAAGACGATTTAACGGATTATGGATTGTGAGAGAAGACGACAACGGCTCGGGGAGGCTCTCATCCAGCAGTAGATTAACGAAACGGGCTGTTCTTTCTAACCCCTGAAATGACGTACATTTAAACACTGTGCGGATGTTTTCTGACGGAAAGAACCACAAAAGTGACTTGATGCCATAGGTTCAACCTCCATGCTGCCTGGATCGTCCTACAGCGAACGGGCAACATTCCACAGGTAAAACAAATATATCAGATGTCGTTTGGCTTTGATGGTCTCTCGCGACAAAACATGAGATTCTATCAACACTTTTATCTGGCGTTTCCTCGAGAGAAAACTAGCATCTTTTTTTTACTTGAAGGTCACGGGCTGGTCGCAAATAACTGCACGCATTAAATGTTGTTCTGCACTTAAATGAGCTATATTTCAAACGTCCTTTTTACTGCCATGCGACCAACTTAACTCTTTGTGGCAGAGCAGGCAGG